CAGGGGCGTAACAAACGGGTTTTCAATGTGTAAGCCCAATGATGAAGTGTGCTGCCGAAGGCAGCACCCCGAAGCGCGTAGCGCGAGGAGGGGGAGGGTATGTGAGGGGGTTTTCCCCCTCCCATTGGTGGGGGTCTGGGGGGTCTCCCCCAGGAGAATTTTGTTTTCTAGAACACATGAGACGCGTTCTCCCTTGTTCTGGTGTCAGTTTTAATGGCCATTTTAAAGCAAGAAAATATCGTTTTCCCCTATTATTTTACAAATATTTTGCTTCTTTTTGGGTACGTAGGGATTGGTACTCATCTACGCCAATTCTATTATGGAGTTCGGTAACATTATTCCACGGAAAAGAAAAATCTAAAATCATGTGGATTTTGGGATAGTTGTTGTAAGAGTGTGACGTTTCTCCTCGCGACTGTGACTCCGGTTGCGCAGGGATATGAGACTAGTATCACAAGCTAGCACTAGGAATAGTTTAACATTATGTACATAAGAACCGATATACTGGTCAATGTGTAAAATATAAAGCCATGGTTTATGACCATTCCATATGTATTTTGTATTAATAAAGGGGATAAAAATCATAGAAACAGTTTATTTCACGGGGGGGGGGGGGCTAGTGAGTACTATGTGTATACCAATAATTTGCATAGCTAGAGCTAGAGTTGCACTGACGCGGTTACCATGTCAAATGATTGAAGCCAGGCTACCAACCATATTGTTCCCTTTATATGTTTAAAAGCGGTAAAAAAACTTAGACACACTTTATTTCACGGGGAAAACTAGAGTTAGATTTTGGGGTACACCGATAATTAGCAAGGCTAGAGTTTCACTGGCGCGATTACCATGCCGAATGAATATGCTACCCTCAGTTCTACATTTGTTAGAGACTTTGATTGCAACCAAGCATTTTAGTTGGCGGTCTTTATAGCAGATACAAAACATCTGTCATTGCTTTTTAATATTTTATATCATATAGTCTATGTTGCGTTTATATTTTTTTCATTTTGTCAAAAATAATGTGTAAGCCCGGGCTTTTTTTGCTACATAGGTTGTTACGCGCCTGGTTTCATAATGTTCTATAATTAATGTAATCTAAAATAATAAAATGTCAACTTTTATTAACCTACTATGGCAGAAGATATAAACAGTGACCTGCAAAATTACTCGTGGATCGATAATGTCGATATATCCATATCCTTGTCCGTGAAAGCTAGCCTTGAGGATACAGCATTATAAGGACGTAGTGATGTTGATAAGGGAGACAAACGTCAGGGGCAAACGAAATGAATTGAGCTGCGAAAATATCCGAATATCTTTACGAGTTACTTCCCGTTGATCGCTGTTCTCCAACGGCTCTTATACCCATATCATAAACGAACAACTTTGTTTTATGCGGTCCAACCATAATAGGAAAACAAGTGCATTTCGTTGCAGCCAATAAATTGGAGGCTAGCCAAATATTGTCTCTATCATAAAGATGCTTAAGTTATAGGCGTAGGTCCTTGTACAAAATAAGAGTTGTGATGAGACAGACAAGTTTTCGGGAAAATGACAACACGGATCGGAAACACCTAGGCCCGAAGTAGGCCTGGAGTTGACAGAATTTACAGGTGTGTATGCATGCCAACGAATTCATAAATTGATAGAAAGTGTTCAGGAAAGCATATTTGTCCTTCGCGACATCTTGTACTTGATACTTCTGGCCCCTCACACACAGTTCTTGGAAAACCAAGGTTAACTCTTCCTTGGCCAGTTGACCTGTTGACGGCTAACATCGTTGCAAACATGTACAGTTACAAGAAGGTTCACTTTGCGTCTTTTGTAAAATAATTTTGTAAAGAGCTATGTCTAACCACGGACTTAGATAACTCTAATTCCGTGGTCTAACACATAAACTGAGCAGAGAAAAAAAAAACATGACTCATTAAAAGTGTAACAGGAGAAAGAAAAAAATGTGCAAGTTGATCTAACTCTTTTGCAAATTCCTCAGCTTAAACTTCTCCTTAAACTTACAAATAAACTGATACTTTAACAATACATTTTTAATGTGTTGTAGGTCTGGCAAATATATTTTTTTTAAATATGTGCCGTGGGTGACGGCTGACAGCTGAAAACAATGGGGAAGATCAGTAAGATTTTGGTATGTGGACACTCAGGTGTTGGAAAGACTGCTGCCATAGAACAGCTAATATATGGGAACCATGTGGCTGGTATGGTAAGTAAAGACATTATTTTGTGGACAAAGACTTCCATCAAAATCCACGTGGTTAGTAAATCTGGTAGGTATGACAGACATAACATTGTGGACAGACTTGTAACGAAAACAAAATGGCCATTGTATGGTTGGTATACAGATATCATTAATTTTCATTTCTCTTATAGTAGTTTCTAATTAACACTTATTTCTGCAAAAACATCTCTTCAATTTCTTTCTTTTGAAAAACTGGCAGTACTTCGGCTTTCCAGGAGTTTTATCTTGGGAGGTAAATCATGTTTAACCCTTTCGACACTGTAGACCATTATGAACTCATCCATATCAATGCATGGTAGATTCTACTAAAGTTACAAAGGGGTGAAAGGGTTAAACCAGGGTAAACTTTCCCAATGCCCTCCATATTCTTATGTCCTTGATCAAACAGTTGTTCTGTTAAAAAATTATAAAACTTATTTCTGTTTAGCCCATGCACTCCACCATTGAGGACATTTATACAGCTATGATAGAAACAGACAGAGGACTTAAGGAGAAAGTGAGAATCTTCGACACAGGAGGATTGGTAATATATATACACTGTATCTCTGTAAATAAGGTTGTGTCAGATTGGTGGAAGCAGCGTTGACAAAATTCATCTTTAAAATCAAAATACTGCAATAACAGGTTAAAATTTCTGATGTGTTCTTTCTGTATAAATATAAAAGCTATAAGTGTTACTGTATCCAAGAGCATTTATTATCTAAATGTCACTGACTGATCTGTTTTTGTTGTGATGTCTCATAATTTACAAACAAACCAAGTTTTTGTCTTTGTTCCAATATATAAAGTCGTGTTTTACCTGTTGCTAAAATTAATCACATTTATGTCTACATTGTTAGATACATAGATGTCAAAATCCAGAAGGAAATAATTGTAAGTGAGTTTATATTATTTAAATTTAACTGATCAGTTTGGTTGATGTTGCACAGGATGGAGCAAAAACTGATCTACCACGACATTACCTAACTTTTCCTGATGTGAGTATTTTGTCCTCTAAATATATCCTTTGTTCGATATCAAATTTACCACACACTACAATCCAAAACTTTACTTTCAGGTAGTCTGTTTCTTCCTCCATATTTTTCATCCTTACAATATGGAAGCACTGGGTAGGTTTCCAACTTTTGAAAATGAGAATGCTGTGGTTATTGTGGAACCTATATACATGTTTCTGTAAACATTGACATCCTTTGAGGATTCTTTTTTCAGACTTCAGTTATAATTTAAGGCAATAATATTTAAAGAACGAAAAGTGCAAAAATAAGATTACCAGTGAAATAGGTATGTTTATAGTATGTACATTGTATATGGTGTCTAGAATTTCAGTTTTTGTAGAAATAGTTAGCTTAATAACGACAATTATGTAACTCTCCATACAGTCTTACTATTATTAAGGGGGTTATGTAACTCTCCATACAGTCTTATTATTAAGGACAATTATGTAACTCTCCATACAGTCTTACTATTATTAGGGACAATTATGTAACTCTCCATACAGTCCTACTATTATTAAGGACAATTATGTAACTTTCCATACAGTCTTACTATTATTAAGTACAATTATGTAACTCTCCATACAGTCCTACTATTATTAAGGACAATTATGTAACTTTCCATACAGTCTTACTATTATTAAGTACAATTATGTACCTCTCCATACAGTCTTACTATTATTTAGGACAATTATGTAACTCTCCATACAGTCCTACTATTATTAAGGACAATTATGTAACTTTCCATACAGTCTTACTATTATTAAGGGGGTTATGTAACTCTCCATACAGTCTTATTATTAAGGACAATTATGTAACTCTCCATACAGTCTTTCTATTATTAAGGACAATTAAAGGACAATTATGTAGCTCTCCATACAGTCTTACTATTATTAGGGACAATTATGTAACTCTCCATACAGTCTTACTATTATCAAGGACAATTATGTAACTCTCCATACAGTCTTTCTATTATTAAGGACAATTATGTAACTTTCCATACAGTCTTACTATTATTAAGTACAATTATGTACCTCTCCATACAGTCTTACTATTATTTAGGACAATTATGTAACTCTCCATACAGTCCTACTATTATTAAGGACAATTATGTAACTTTCCATACAGTCTTACTATTATTAAGGGGGTTATGTAACTCTCCATACAGTCTTACTATTATCAAGGACAATTATGTAACTCTCCATACAGTCTTACTATTATTAAGGGGGTTATGTAACTCTCCATACAGTCTTACTATTATCAAGGACAATTATGTAACTCTCCATACAGTCCTACTATTATTAAGGACAATTATGTAACTTTCCATACAGTCTTACTATTATTAAGGGGGTTATGTAACTCTCCATACAGTCTTATTATTAAGGACAATTATGTAACTCCATACAGTCTTACTATTATTTAGGACAATTATGTAACTCTCCATACAGTCCTACTATTATTAAGGACAATTATGTAACTTTCCATACAGTCTTACTATTATTAAGGGGGTTATGTAACTCTCCATACAGTCTTACTATTATTTAGGACAATTATGTAACTCTCCATACAGTCTTATTATTAAGGACAATTATGTAACTCTCCATACAGTCTTTCTATTATTAAGGACAATTAAAGGACAATTATGTAACTCTCCATACAGTCTTACTATTATTAAGGACAATTATGTATATAACTCCATACAGTCTTATATACCAGTAAAACCTAAGAATCCATACTAATGAGGTAGTATCTCTGTACTCATGCTATAGTTTACATTAATATGTTTGTTTCCACAGGGATTTGTTCTGGTGTATGATGTGACAAACTGGGATTCATTTCAAAAACTAGAAAAACTTAAAAAGGACATTGATAAAAACAGAGAGAAGAGAGAGGTAAGATATCTGGAAGGGATTGTATATAAGGAACATGTTTCTGCTATTTAGAGCGAGGCTGTTATGTTTTTGTCCTGTCTGTCCTTCTGTCTATCACATACTGTCATCACGTTATCGACCATATTATTTGACAGACTTGGTGTCATTCCATGGGTATGTATGCCTTGAATATATCTTGGCCAGTTTTAAATATGAGGGTGATTGAGCATTGTCAATCATCGAAGTCACTATTTCAAAAATATTAAAGTGAAATGTTACTTAAATAGAACTTCCCCTGTGATCCAGCAGGAGCCATGCTCACATCCTTTAGTTTCCAAAATGTTGTCTTTATTGATGAGTTTCTGTAGATTATAAACACCATACATACTTTAATCTGTCCAAGGTAAACAAGTAAACACTCTAACACATAATTAATAAATACAGGATGTAATTTGTGTCGTGTCAGATTAATTAGGTTACAGCAGCTCCAGCTTTAAGTTGCTCTAATAGAAGTAAAAAATGGAATATGTTATCATGTAACAGTGATTTTTTGTCTCAGTTTTACACCCGGAGACAGGCTGTTTCCCCTAGCTAAAAAGTGCCTTATTTTCCCAAATAGACCAAAAATGAGGAATATATTCCCAATGTCAATAAAAATAATGCTATATTTTTCCAATTCAAAAAGGAACATGCTGTTGTAAAATTTAGGTAAAAAACCCACTGTAAAATGGTATCTGTCAGTGCATAATAAACCAACTTTATACGGATTAAATATCAGTATCATTTGTAAATGATTAATTAATAGAATTAGACCAGGTGGTTTGTTGGTCTAAGTTGATCCCTGAAGATGGCATTTTATCTGCCTAAATGTTTATTACTGTTTATGTATGAGCACTGTTACGCTTTTGACTGCTGTGAAGAGTGATTGACGGCCAAATAGAATACGGTTTACAGGTGAAACAACATGTGTGTTAGCAGCAGTAAAAAACCAGTATTGATTGTTTCAGATACATATTATTGCCATTGGAAACAAAAGTGAGGAGCAAGAAAGTCGTCAAGTGGATTTTAATACAGCACAGACGTGGGCTAACAGAGAGAAAGGTACTGTTAATGTGGGCTAACAAAGAGAAAGGTACTGTTAATGTGGGCTAACAGAGAGAAAGGTACTGTTAGTATCATATAAGATAAATACAGCACAGATGTGGGCTAACAGAGAGAAATGTACTGTTAGTATCATATAAGATTAATACAGCACAGATGTGGGCTAACAGATCTAGAGAGAAAGGTACTGTTAGTATCATATAAGATTAATACAGCACAGATGTGGGCTGACAGAGAGAAAGGTACTGTTAATGTTGGCTAACAGAGAGAAATGTACTGTTAATGTGGGCTAACAGAGAGAAAGGTACTGTTAATGTTGGCTAACAGAGAGAAATGTATTGTTAATGTGGGCTAACAGAGAGAAAGGTACTGTTAATGTGGGCTAACAGAGAGAAAGGTACTGTTAATGTGGGCTAACAGAGAGAAAGGTACTGTTAGTATCATATAAGATTAATTAGTGAAAGAAATTTTGTTAGCTTTTCTTACAAAGTAATCTTTTCAAAATAAAGTAAATATATTACTGTAAACGAGTAACTTATCTGTATCTACTCTCTCTGAAATATGTCCTTCCTACACATACGGCGAATACTCTGCTGAAACGAATGATATCTCTCTATAACTAAAACTTTGAAGTTTTTCTGATAGTAAATATAACTCAGAAGCTATCGGTATTGATAGAACATATAACATCCATGTAGAAATTAAACGACCATTACCATTGGCTCAAAACTCTACAACAAACTGAATACTGTTTGGGTTATCTGATTGATTGGTGATTGATTGGTTTGGGTTACCTGATTGATTGGTTTGGGTTATCTAATTGATTGGTTTGGGTTATCTGATTGATTGGTGTGGGTTATCTGATTGAATGGTTTGGGTTATCTGATTGATTCGTTTGGGTTACCTGATTGATTGGTTTGGGTTATCTGATTGATTGGTTTGGGTTACCGGATTGATTGGTTTGGGTTATCTGATTGATTCGTTTGGGTTACCTGATTGATTGGTTTGGGTAATCTAATTGATTGGTTTGGGTTATCTAATTGATTGGTTTGGGTTATCTAACTGATTGGTTTGGGTTATCTGATTGATTGGTTTGGGTTACCTGATTGATTGGTTTGGGTTACCGGATTGATTGGTTTGGGTTATCTAATTGATTGGTTTGGGTTATCTGATTGATTGGTTTGGGTTATCTGATTGATTGGTTTGGGTTACCGGATTGATTGGTTTGGGTTATCTAATTGATTGGTTTGGGTTATCTAATTGATTGGTTTGGGTTATCTGATTGATTGGTTTGGGTTACCTGATTGATTGGTTTGGGTTATCTAATTGATTGGTTTGGGTTATCTAATTGATTGGTTTGGGTTATCTGATTGATTGGTTTGGGTTACCTGATTGATTGGTTTGGGTTACCTAATTGATTGGTTTGGGTTATCTAATTGATTGGTTTGGGTTATCTGATTGATTGGTTTGGGTTACCGGATTGATTGGTTTGGGTTACCTGATTGATTGGTTTGGGTTACCTGATTGATTGGTTTGGGTTACCGGATTGATTGGTTTGGGTTATCTGATTGATTGGTTTGGGTTACCGGATTGATTGGTTTGGGTTACCGGATTGATTGGTTTGGGTTACCGGATTGATTGGTTTGGGTTACCGGATTGATTGGTTTGGGTTATCTGATTGATTGGTTTGGGTTACCGGATTGATTGGTTTGGGTTACCGGATTGATTGGTTTGGGTTACCGGATTGATTGGTTTGGGTTACCGGATTGATTGGTTTGGGTTACCGGATTGATTGGTTTGGGTTACCGGATTGATTGGTTTGGGTTACCGGATTGATTGGTTTGGGTTACCGGATTGATTGGTTTGGGTTACCGGATTGATTGGTTTGGGTTACCGGATTGATTGGTTTGGGTTACCGGATTGATTGGTTTGGGTTATCTGATTGATTGGTTTGGGTTACCGGATTGATTGGTTTGGGTTACCGGATTGATTGGGTTGGGTTACCGGATTGATTGTGTTGGGTTACCGGATTGATTGGTTTGGGTTATCTGATTGATTGTGTTGGGTTACCGGATTGATTGGTTTGGGTTACCGGATTGACAGGTTTGGGTTATCTAATTGATTGGTTTTGGTTATCTGATTGATTGGGTTGGGTTATCCGATTGATTGGTTTCGATTATCTGATTGATTGGGTTGGGTTACCGGATTGATTGGTTTGGGCTATCCGATTGATTGGTTTGGGTTATCTGATTGATTGGGTTGGGTTACCGGATTGATTGGTTTGGGTTATCTGATTGATTGGTTTGGGTTATCTGATTGATTAGTGTACCACCTGATTGACTGGGTGTGTTACCTGATGGATTTGTATAGTTACCTAATTTGTTTGGCTACCTGCTTTGTTTATTTACAGGATTGGGTTACCTGGTTGAAGGATTACCTGATTGATTGTTTACCTATCATTATTTTACAGTCCGTCTGTGGGAGGCGTCTGTCAAGAGCAGACAGTCACTAATTGAACCGTTTGTTTGGTTAACATCAAAGATAACGCAACCTCAGAGTAAGTCCCACTTTTCTCTATGCTTGATAATCTATATGTACTTAAGTGTCAATTTAAGATTTAATTACAACATATTATCTTTTCTTGGCAATCAACAAGTAATCAGTTTAGAAGTTCGTATTGAGTTTATTATAAAACAACACCACATACACAACATAGCAATTGAAAAACATTTATTTTCTCAGTTTTCAAACAAGTTGGACTTCGAAGTCAATGTGTATAAAACTGTCTTGTACTCCTCCTGGCATGAAAATTGAAAAAAAAGGTCACCCTTAACATTTTCATTCATAATGTATAATTCATATTCCCTAATATTTGCAGTATTAAAGTTTCTGTATTATAAGTAATGACACCTTATTTTTTTGCTTCTTACAATGGGCTTACATTATTCGAAGGAGGAGAAGCATCACGGTGACATTTATCCAGTTGCATTCATAGCTCTGTAAATTAACATTTCTTGTGTTTACATAAGGCTTCCAGTGGAAATATAATTATATGGTGATACAAATTTAAAGTTGTCATATTTTGGAAACCTTTTTTTATTTTATATATATGCGAGGCTGCTTCTGACTGGTAAAATACTGTTTAGACTATCATTGAAAAATGTTTGTTTGCAGTTTCTTACCTCACTCTTTTTTAGTTGGTAGGTAGGTTGAGATTTGTTTCTATCTAAAAACCCTAAAGTAAGTAATTTTTCATAAAGGAAAAAAATATTTACGGAAAGCTCCAAATCAAGGTTTGAGAAGGTGACGTTTTTAGTGAGTTAGTCCGGAAACAGCAAACAACCTTTTTTTAAGGATCACCTTAAACAAATTAATAACATAATTACGTTGTTTATCAGCTGTGTATTTACACATGTCAAGGTACAACATGTGTGAAGTAGATTATTTTTGAATGCACTTTTAACAATGTCTATGTTGGTGGTAAAGACCAAATTGTGTTGATAAACATAACATCCTACAAGAAATTCGTACACAATATCTATAACTATTTTTCTTTTTTTCTTCTTCAGGCAAGTCCACATTCTTACCAGGTCGAAAGGCCAAGGCAGGTGAACTTTGAACTCTACCGAACATTTTTTTTTCTGGAACGGGAACAGCTAGAGTATAACGCAAGATCGTATTTATTTGTTTGTTGTTTATATTTATTGTATGTACCAGTACATTTATGTTGATACAGTCATTGACTTATATTTTATCAAGACAAGGAAAAATATAAATATTGTGAATATTATTATCATGTTACTTAAACTTGATTTACAATTTATAAGATTGGTTTTGATGTCTGTATATATATTTACGAGAAATCGTCATAACTACAAATGTTTCTTAACACACAGCATTAATATCACAATATGAAGGAGCAAACCGAATTAAGGATGTACTCTTCTGAGGTTTCAATCACGTTCAAGTCTCGTTTTGATCTGGTGTAATGAGCTTTTGTAATATTTAACAAATTACGATCAAGTTTATTAGCAAACACGCACCAGAAAAATATGTCAAAAAACTAGATGCCTGTTGTTTGTAGAACATTTTTTACAAGGATTTTAAAAAAATACCAATTCGGCGGCCATTTTGAAAATGTGTATTAATGTGTATTTCTTGCGCTTCAAAAAAGGCCAAAATTTCACCTTTTTTGACACTAGATTGATCACTTAAGTTGTCATTGTGTCGCCATTTTAATTGTAGCAGCTGTACAACTTTATAATGTTCAATATGATAAAAATAATATGCAAGAAACTGGAAAATTATACATTATTGATATTTTTTTACGTATTTAGTGTTACTGAAGCACTTTTAATTTTTGACCCCGAAAAAGGTAAAAAGGTAACAAATGATAATGGGACAAAAAAAAGAAGCACACTGCCCCCCAATTTTGTAGATGTTTTATTTCATTCATTAAATATTAAAAAAAGTTTAATACCAGAACTATTTCTATCAAGCGTTTAATCTGCAAAAAAAATGTAAAAAATGAGTATTTTTTCATTAAAAAATAGGGGGTAGGGGTAACTAAAATCGGCTTTCTGAGTTAAAAGCATAAGATAAAGAAATTTTACTTCCATAAATTAAAAGAAAATAATATTTTCATCAATTCTACAAACATTCATACATATCTGATAACACACTTGGAAGAAATTGTATGAATTTGTTCTGCAAATGGTCAAAACCCAAAAAATCACGTAAAATCACATGTTGTGTTAAATTGATATCTTTGACCGATCATAGCACAAAAACGAATACACTGACATATAGTTGTTTTTTTTGCATTTTCTACTATGCCATTAACTCTTTTTTCCAAAAATCCATATAAGAAAAAAAGTTTAATACAGGAAATTTTTGACTTCTCAGAGGTGTACATCCGTAAGTCTTATATTGTAAGAAATTTGAAAAGTGGAAAAAAATACTTTTGGGGGGGGGGATAAACTATGATTTAATTAGATCTAAAACGAAATTGTGGAACTCGTAAAAACTGAATTTGAAAATATTTCCTCAAAGAAATAAAAGGTATTTTTGTATTGAGTTTGAAGATGTATCCTTTGGTAAATATGCCTGCACATGAACTAAACTTTGCATGACTCCATAAGTGCGACAGAAATAAAGGATGAAATTGCAGTTTTTCCTTTCTTCTGATTATAATAAATGGGGTAATACTGACATCCAAGTCATTCCTAACTTTGAACTGTTCTGCACATTATTGGCTGACATGAAGGAACAGAGTTTTTTAATTGAAATCAAGTTTTCTCTGAATACCACAAATATTGAATGGTAATGACTCCGTTTTTAATCTCTGTTAATGATTTACCTTTATGTGACAATGTTTAGTTGTTACTGACCACAATATATCTAGATGTAGCAGTATATACATTTTTACTGTTATAACGTCATTCACTCAAGAACCTATGTTCCTGGAAACTGGAATTATAACGTTATAATAGAACGTGATGAGTTTCCATGACGCCACAATACATGTGGGCAGAGATATGCAAGTTTTTCCGCAAACCAGACACACCTGTGTTACTTGATCAACAGCAGGTGTGGGCAGAGTTAACCAAGGCCTATGCAAATTTCAGGCCGTTACTTATATTGAACCGATCATTTATTACATGTAAAATGTTTCGAAAATGAAATTTGCTTCCGTTGATCAGACTAATGTAATGTATAATATAGTTATATACGATTCACAAAAATATATTGTAAATATAAGGAATAGTTTTCTATTTTGGTCAGGATATGAGGTGATAACTCCACTTCATTCATTTAATTGACACGTGCTTATCTGGACTTAGTCATCTCATAGCCCAACCAAAATATAAAAAAAAAACATTCCTTAAATGTAGCAGTAACTAATTGCACTGACGTTTTAAAACTAACCTCATATAACAGTGTTCTGTAACATTAATTAATGTAATTGTTTAGTTAAATTAAATCATTATTAAACATTTCTTTACCTGTTGTTTGTTGTACATTTGAACCATTAACATTAGTATGCGAACAACTTTTGGGAAGATTGAGTGAAATCTGGTGTTGAACCCCACTATATACTTATTATTCTTCATTCATTGTTAAAAATTATGTCATTCTAGAGGTGACGGGCATAGGTTCCTCACAATACTTTGTCGTTTTTTAAACAACTTTAGGCAAGCAAGCTACATATATATGCCAAATATAACGACTCTAGGCTTCATGGTTCTTTAAAAGAAGTCATTTTCAGTTTTCGACATATTTGAACCCCTTTACGTAGAAAGTGGGTGTCAAGGTCATTCATTTAAACAAACTTCATAGCCACCGACCTGAACAAACTACACACCATATTTCAAACTCTTAATTACCTCATGTGTCTTGAGAACGATTCACTCTAAGAAAACGACAGACGCCATGCTATCCCATAATGTTGCATGCAGTTTGTATGATATGAACAGTTCATTCAACACAAGTTAAAAGAAAACAAACACTTATTAGGTACACTGTAATTGTTTAATTCACTTAAATCCACATGAATGATTTCTCTTACGACTAACAATATCGATTTGAGGTAATCCGATCCATTCTTTAGACTGACTCGCCGACAGTTTTCTTCAAAAGTCTCTTTGAATCTTTGATGAATTGTCAGAAAATAGCAAACAATGATTATGCACTAAAAATGTTTGAAATCTGACGCTAGTTTTCGGTATTGGCATGCATTTCTTATTGTAAAGCATAAAATATATAGTCATGAGCATGTAGAAAACTGACATCATATGAGCAATCTCGTTCTATTTTGAAAGAAGCAGTCCCAACGATCGGTTAGGTTATCAGCAGCCCAAAGTCTCTTTGCGGCAAGTCTTTTTTCAAATCGAAGAGTTCTAAAAATGATTTGGGTCTGGAGTGTGTATATATATCCATTACCATACCTTATTGCAAATGAAACGAGTCATATGCCAGGTGATTGCTATTTACCTAAATGGAATGGTAAATGGAACCCTAAGCTGAAACTAATGATTTTTTTTAAAATATAAGTTTAGCACTTCGTGTTAGACTCTTAGTTCACTGATGCTTATGAAGGAATTTTCAGAAGTTCTTTGATACTAGAAAAACATACTTTTTATGTATCAAATGGCAAAAAATAAAAAAGAACCCATCTTTTTGTTAAAATGTTAAAACGATATTCACAGATAAATAAATACCGTTATCAATCTGTCAACATGGCACCACTTCACACACTTAAAAGTTCTGCGTACATGGCCAAGACAGCTCTATAGCATTAACACTTAGTAAATAAGGCACAGACACCACATTCTGTCAATGTGCACATGGCACATACAGCTTTCAAAACCCCTTCATATTCTGAATAATCCTGAAATATTTTGATGTCTTGTATACAAATAGAACTTAAAAACAACATGTCATCTGGCTAGTGTTGACCATACAGAGACATGTAGACAACCTGTCATCTGGCTAGTGTTGGTCTTACACAGATACGTGTAGACAGCCTATCATCTGGCTAGTGTTGATCATACACAGAGACATGTAGCCAACCTGGCATCTGGCTAGTGTTGATCAAACACAGAGACATGTAGACAACCTGTCACCGGGCTAGTGTTGATCATACGCAGAGACATGTAGACAACCTGTCATCTGGCTAGGGTGGATCATACACAGAGACATGTAGACAACCTGTCTCCGGACTAGTGTTGATCATACACAGAGACATGTATACAACCTGTCACCGGGCTAGTGTTGATCATACGCAGAGACATGTAGACAACCTGTCACCGGGCTAGTTTTGATCATACACAGAGACATGTAGACAACCTAGCATCTGGCTAGTGTTGATCATACACAGAGAAATGTAGCCAACCTGTCAACGGGCTATTGTTTATCATACATAGAGACATGTAGACAACCTGTAATCTGGCTAATGTTGGTCTTACACAGAGACATGTAGACAACCTGTCATCTGGCTAATGTTGATCATACAGAGACATGTAGACAACCTGCCAACGGGCTATTGTTTATCATACACAGAGACGTATAGACAACCTGTCATCTGGCTAGTGTTGATGATACACCGATACATGTAGACAACCTGTCATCTGGCTGGTGTGGATCATACACAGAGACATGTAGACAACCTGTCATCTGGCTATTGTTTATCATACACAGAGACATGTAGACAACCTATCATCTGGCTAGTGTTGATCATACACCGATACATGTAGACAACCTATCATCTGGCTAGTGTTGATCATACACAGAGACATGTAGAGACATGTAGACAACCTATCATCTGGCTAGTGTCGATCATACACAGAGACATGTAGACAACCTGTCATCTGGCTAGTGTTGATCATACACAGAGACATGTAGACAAACTTTCATCTGGCTAGTGTTGATCATACACAGAGACATGTAGACAACCTATCATCTGGCTAGTGTCTATCATACACAGAGACAAGTAGACAACCTGTCAACGGGCTATTGTTTATCATACACAGACATGTAGGCGCCCTGTCATCTGGCTAGTGGTGATCATACACAGAGACGTGTAGACAACCTGTCACCGGGCTCGTGTTGATCATACACAGAGACGTGTAGACAACCTGTCACCGGGCTCGTGTTGATCATACATAGAGACATGTAGACAACCTGTCACCAGGCTAGTGTTGATCATACACCGATACATGTAGACAACCTGTCATCTGGCTAGTGTTGATCATACATAGAGACATGTAGACAACCTGTCACCGGGCTAGTGTTGATCATACATAGTGACATGTAGACAACCTGTAATCTGGCTAATGTTGGTCTTACACAGAGACATGTAGACAACCTATAATCTTGCTAGTGTTGATCATACATAGAGACATGTAGACAACCTGTCATCTGGCTAGTGTTGATCATACACAGAGCCATGTAGACAATCTATCATCTGGCTAGTGTTGATCATACACAGAGACATGTAGACAAACTTTCATCTGGCTAGTGTTGATCATACACAGAGACATGTAGACAACCTGTCACCGGGCTAGTGTTGATCATACATAGAGACATGTAGACAACCTGTAATCTGGCTAATGTTGGTCTTACACAGAGACATGTAGACAACCTATAATCTTGCTAGTGTTGATCATACATAGAGACATGTAGACAACCTATCATCTTGCTAATGTTGATCATACACAGAGACATGTAGACAACCTATCATCTGGCTAATGTTGGTCTTACACAGAGACATGTAGACAACCTATCATCTTGCTTGTGTTGATCATACACAGAGACATGTAGACGACCTGTCATCTGGCTACTGTTGATCATACACAGAGACATGTAGCCAACCTGTCATCTGGCTAATGTTGGTCTCACACAGAGACATGTAGACAACCTATCAACACTAGCCAGATGATAGGTTGTGTACACGCATCTGTGTAAGACCAACACTAGCCAGATGACAGGTTGTCTACATGTCTCGGTGTATGATCAACACAAGCAAGATGATAGACTAGCCAGATGACAGGTTGTCTACACGTCTCTGTGAATGATAAACAATAGACCGTTGACAGGTTGTCTACATGTCTGTGTATGATCAACACTAGCCAGATGACCGGTTGTCTACATGTCTCTGTATGATCAACACTAGCAAGATGATAGGGTGTGTACATGTCTCTGTGTAAGACCAACACTAGCCAGATGACAGGTTGTATACATGTCTCTGTACGAACAACACTAGCAAGATGACAGGTTGGCTACATGTCTCTATGTATGATCAACACTAGCCCGGTGATAGGTTGTCTACATGTCTCTATGTATGATCAACACTAGCCAGATGAAAGGTTGTCTACATGTCTCTGTATGATCAACCCTAGCCAGATGACAGGTTGTCTACATGTATCGGTGTATGATCAACACTAGCCCGGTGATAGGTTGTCTACATGTCTCTATGTATGATCAACACTAGCCCGGTGACAGGCCGTCTACATGTCTCTGTGTATGATCAACACTAACCAGATGACAGGTCGTCTACATGTCTATGTGTATGATCAACACAAGCAAGATGATAGGTTGTCTACATGTCTCTATGTATGATCAACACTAGCCCGTTGACAGGTCGTCTACCTGTCTCTGTGTATGATCAACACTAGCAAGATGACAGGTTGGCTACATTTCTCTGTGTATGATCAACACTAGCCAGATGCCAGGTTGTCTACATGTCTCTGTGTAGGATCAACACTAGCCAGATGACAGGTTTTCTACACGTCTCTGTGTATGATAAACAATGGCCCGTTGACAGGTTGTCTACATGTCTCTGTCTGATCAACACTAGCCAGATGACAGGTCGTCTACATGTATCGGTGTATGATCAACACTAGCCCGGTGATAGGTTGTCTACATGTCTCTATGTATGATCAACACTAGCCAGATGACCGGTTGTCTACATGTCTCTGTATGATCAACATTAGACAGATGACAGGTTGTCTACATGTCTCGGTGTATGATCAACACAAGCAAGATGATAGGTTGTCTACATGTTTCTGTGTAAGACCAACATTAGCCAGGGTTGTCTACATGTCTCTGTGTATGGTAAACAATAGCCCGTTGACAGGTTGGCTACATGTCTCTGTGTATGAACAACACTAGCCAGATGATAGGTTGTGTACACGTATCTGTGGAAGACCAACACTAGCCAGATGACAGGTTGTATACATGTCTCTGTACGAACAACACTAGCAAGATGACAGGTTGGCTACATGTCTCTATGTATGATCAACACTAGCCCGGTGACAGGTCGTCTACATGTCTCTGTATGATCAACCCTAGCCAGATGACAGGTTGTCTACACGTCTCTGTGTCTGATAAACAATAGCCCGTTGACAGGTTGGCTACATGTCTCTGTGTATGAACAACACTAGCCAGATGATAGGTTGTCTACATGTGACAGGTTGTCTACATGTCTCTGTCTACATGTCTCTGTGTATGATCACGCTAGCCAGATGGCAGGTCGTCTACATGACTCTGTGTATAATCAACTCTAGCGAGATGATAGGTTGTCTACATGTCTCTATGTATGATCAACACTAGCCCGTTGACAGGTCGTCTACCTGTCTCTGTGTATGATCAACACTAGCTCGTTGACAGGTTGTCTACATGTCAAACGTTTTGATAGCTGCATGTTTGAAAAACTACTTCGCTGTACTAAACGTTTGGGGGTATACAGTGTCGACACCGATACCTGATTTGCGAAGGACCCTCAGGAGACATGTAGACAACCTGTCAACGAGCTAGTGTTGATCATACACAGAGACAGGTAGACGACCTGTCAACGGGCTAGTGTTGATCATACATAGAGACATGTAGACAACCTATCACCGGGCTAGTGTTGATCATACACCGATACATGTAGACGACCTGTCATCTGGCTAATGTTGATCATACACAGAGACATGTAGCCAACCTGTCAACGGGCTATTGTTTATCAGACACAGAGACGTGTAGACAACCTGTCATCTGGCTAGTGTTGATCATACACCGATACATGTAGACAATTCATGCTATAAAATTTAAAATGTATAAGAAATAGATTATAACAACCGATTACACAATCATGTATTGGGTAAAATATGAACGATAATCACAATATTAATTTACACTGTATATAAAAATTACTGTATATTGTAAATGTGATGCTATTAAAATATATTGAAAAAACACTATCTAAGGGTATGAATACGTACATTATTATCGGGGTATGTGTTTCAATGGCAGACAATGGCAAGCTATCGTGAGATAGAGGCAAGCTGTATTTTGTACAAAGTGTGAAAAAATGTAAATAATTAGGTATGTTCACACCATGAAGAGAATATCTGTCGTTTCTATCCTTTTTTTAAATTTTTTTTTATTATCATTCATATTTCCCCTACGATGACGACTTTGCTTATTGTTTTCTGTATCTGTAGTCTACCGGAAAGGCCTCAATCTTGAGTATAAACTTCCGGATACCTTCGAAGAAAAGCTTAACTCGAACTTGAAGTCATGACATCAAAACAAACAGAACAGACATAAAAACTTACCAAACAAACAGAACAGCCATAAAATAACCTTAAAAAACAAACAGAACAGCCATAAAATAACCTACGAAACAAACAGAACAGCCATAAAAACCTACCAAACAAACATAACAGCCATATAATAACCCACTAAACAGACAGAACAGCCATAAAAACCTACCAATCAAACAGAACAGCCATGTAAGAAACTACCAAACAAACAGAACAGCCATAAAAACCTACCAAACAAACAGAACAGCCATAAAATAGCATACCAAACAAACAGAACAGCCATAAAATAACCTACCAAACAAAAAGAGCAGCCATAAAATAACCTACAAAACAACTGGGGATGAAAGCGGGTGTTCCGGAAGAGTAAACACTGTTGTTATTTGCTACACTTTTCAATTACATACATTAAAGCACATGGAATTTGAATACAGCAACGAAAGACAATGTTAAAACTTTGCAAAGTTCCTCTATAGGAACCACTTGAGACATTAATGATTCGTACTTTGGGGTCAAGACTTAAAAATCTTCATTTAATGTTTAGTACAGCGAAGTAGTTTTTCAAACATGCAGCTATCAAAACGTTTGGGGGTATACAGTGTCGACACCGATACCTGATTTGCGAAGGACCCTCAGACCTTCGTCATAATTTGTTGTTACCTAATGTATCAAACAATTAAAGAAAGGGTTATCAATTGATTACTGTTTTCTCTTTTTCTTTAAAGACAACCCATCACCGATATATTGTATACCGGGAAATAGTCACTGCTGTTTAAATTTCGCCATTTTCGCCCAACGCTATGAGGGCGAATGTATCATAACAGCGAATTTCCGTAATCAACATCACAAACATAGGAATCAAATATGAAGAACAAAATTAATGACAGGACAATATGTATTTTACTGACGAAGGGCGAAAGTTTCCTGGTATACAGTATTTGAAAATGAGTCAAATGTTCAGATGTAAAAATATTTACGAAAGGATGTTCAACGCTACTTTAAACATTGTGTTATTAAACAAGATATATATATAATTAATCATATCAATGTTCATAATAAACACACTGAAATGTATATTTCATTACATAATTTGTTATTAGGTACTCATATATAGGATCTTACATGAGTTTCCAATTCATACGAGATTTATGAAACGAGTCTAAGATTGATTTTTTTCATTTTAGCGAGCCTCTGGCAGCGAGCCTCTGGCGAGCTAAAATGAATGATTCGTGACGGTTTCATAAATTTCATATGAAATGAAAACGATTGTAAGATCATTTTTTTTCCACATAATCAAGATTTGTGACATCTATTCATGTAAAACGACAATTTTCATATAACCCTGAAATGTAAAAAGCTGCCATTTTGACTCCAGGTCGTAAGTCTGTTACGGCATGTTCTTGTCCTAGGCGTAACGGCACAATTGAAACAATTGGAATTTACAACCAATCACAGGGCTGATAGGTGATTTTACATGGGTTAATACGTAAAAAATATGACATGGGTATATTCACTGGATAACACAGCACATAATGTGATAAAAGAATATTTTACCGTTCGTAGGGTTTTAATTGTCGGTATTATAAGATAAGATTATCAGATTTCACCAGTTTGTAATGACTTCAGATACCACTCGCAATTTTACAAAAACAAGAGCCTTAGAATGCATGCACCTGCATACACAAACGATATATAACAATAATACAACAGCGCTAAATTGGTACTTTAAGGAAAACATATATTTACTTGTACGACATAAGGCAGATCCAAAGAGCAAGTCTGTACTGCTTCGTCAGACCACGACAATAAATCAAACAAGATCAGTACTACAGAACAAATTCAAAGCTCCGTCCAAAATTCTGTAAGTAAAACACAAATTTTTCAATATTTCAAAATTTCTGAAATTAAAACCCGACACATATCAATACTGGTGATAAACACGATGTAAATAAATATATCTATAAAGATTTTACATACAATTTTACAAATATACAAATTAGAAGAAGAGAATTCTCAGCGTTTTTGTCTATTTTGTGTGTCGTTATATCATTGAATTTTGGTATGACTGGTAATATATAGCTGAAAGCTACAGAAAGTAGTTGGGAGATTAACGGAAAAGTTAGACACTACACCAACCTAGACACGAGTATGGAAATCTGGTTACTGTTTCCGTGAAAACGGTCAAGCTTACCTTCTTTCTTACTGGAACCTACCTTACAAAATACTCGGGGTTCTCACATTCCTGAAGTTCTCCGTCAATAGAAACTAGGCGATTGTAAATGCTAGATTCTCCTGGCTTTTCTTTCAATCTTATTTTAATTGACTGACACCGGCGTATTTTTATAAAGTCCTTTTCAAACTGAAACATAAGATGTTCATATTTAACCACAAACACCTCCCAACCTAACAAACGAGAGGTAGAGGAACTCCCTGTAAACCTGTTGACTTTGTCACTCGACATTTATTTTATAACAGGCTTTTTCTAACACCGTAAAACACTAATTACAAAATAAAATCATGATTTCGTTTTATATACTTTACCACTTTACTTTACTTGATCATAAGTGATACAGCTGAATAAATCAGTTTTCCAGTGAAAACCAAGCGGACAGCGATTACAAAATTTGCATCTAAACATACGTGATACACATTTCTTTATAAACAGAGTGGAGTCAACAGGCCCAATATCTACGACATTTCCTACCTTATTGACAATCAAAAGAATGGCATATGTACTTTGGTGACTATAACTGGAAGCATGGTATTGGAACCCGAGAAAACAACGTCCTTTAATATTATAATCAGCAGTCACATAAAATAAATGTCGAGTAATAACTCTTTGCAAAGACGTCATGTAAATACCACCCTTTATTTATTCATATATGTGCACATTGCGATGACTATCTGATTGCTTAATGTATGAAGGTGATTGTAAGCCTTTTTTTGTTTCACTATTATAACTAATACTATCATCCATATGTTGTAAGGCGCTTTAAAGTAATTTTACAAATTATATAAGGCGCTATATAAATGTTGTATATTATCATTATTATTATAAGATTGGAAAAGACTAGCCTTTAAAATTAACTTTAGATCATATTCAGTAGTTAAGATGGTTTGATCAACACAAGAGGCCCAACAGAGGCCTGTATCGCTCAGTCGGTATTCGGTGTTGTGACACGTTGAATACCAAGCATAAATTCATTTAAACAATCTTAATAGCCCTAGCCCTCTAGGCCCGAATACTTCAAGCAAAATATTGAACCTAGGTATCTTGGTTATTCATAAGAAATCGTCTAAATGGTTTTTATACATCTAAACTCTGTGATCTTGAAAGTGGGTAATGGTCATTTATAGGAACAAACATATAAAACAAGCTTAAACTTTGAAGCATTTGTTGTTAATAAATAAAGAGTCATTTTAAGTAAGACGCAAGTGAGAGAAAAAAAACACCGTTAAATGATGACAATACAGGTTTGCACAAGGATCAGAATTACATATGACATGTGCTTGCGGATGAGGAAGTTTCATTCAGATACAACATTCTACAAAATTATTAACGCAAAATGTAATTTGAAAACATTTATGACGGCTTCCGATAATGTTTCCTGGTGTACCAACATTGAAGTGTTCCAAATAGTTCGGCATATTCCTGACTTAGAATTGCTTGGTTGTCCGTTAATTAACAATGTAAAGAGTCCATTCGAAAGAAATATTTTTTTTTATCATTTATCATCACGCCACACGGAATTTTCTTAAACATTCCAAAATACCATTTCAAAATGTTCGTACTTCCTCAAAAGGCCCGCATGTCTTCATACCAGCAAGAGAAAATAACATTCATTGAACAAGAAATATTTTTCCTAGCCCTGTATTTTGAGAAAAAATAGAAACGAGAGCTCACAATGCATATTGAATCCTGTCAAAAACAGTTAATTAAATACCAGAGGAGAGGTATTAAATACAATGTGACAAATGACACTGAAATAAAGCGGAACATACTAGTGAATCAGTTAAATAAGAAAATTTCCCTCCCATCAACATGTGATTTTTATGATAATCGCAGCTTACCGCACCATCTTTTCTCGCATGAAGATCACGAAAATGTTGAAGCATTTGTAGCCAGCCCATACGTTCATAGATCACCATGAACATGTCTCCGTTGTGTTTCCTGGTGACGTTGCGTATGCAGGATTTAAAGAGGTTAAAGTGACCAGCATCATCCAGAAGTTGAAATGGCCAGCTCATGACCATGCTGGTCTCTTGATTTATTTTCTCTGAAAAAAAGTTTAATAACAACTAATGATGACTTTATAAACCACTGAGTTTGATAGATTATAGGGAGAGGTGTGATTTAGTTACGTTTTATAGACTAAAAGTAACGTAAGTCTGATTTGTGAGGTTTTATCGGCGTGGCAAAGGCTCAGAAGAAGAGATGATATTACATTGTATGACATCAAGATCATAATATATGAACACAATGAAAGCGGATTTCACATTCAGTCATTACTACTAAGAGGATGTTAAACTTAATGAGTCAACGTATGTTACACACAGAACCAATGAATCGCAACATACGGGACTGAATGACTGCAAATGTAACTACATGTTCTGGTTTCAAGGCAAAGGTTCGAGAAATAAGCTTTATGTGTGGCACATAAGCAAGGGCACTATTAATCTAGAAAGAGGCGTGATAAACATGCTCTGTGCATTTGACATGTATGACACACATAACCAAAGGGATAACAGATTATGTATGTGTGATAAACATCTTAAACTCCAGATATAAGATTTAAGTGACTCCCCTCCCCAGGCATTCAATGATAGCACGTCACCATACTACTATAACATTGTATATTTACCCTCTTCAAACACAAATTCCTCGTGTTGCTCTGATCCGTCTCTCATCGTGATCCTTTTTCTGAAAGTTGTTAACTGTATAAGTATCATTTTGTTACTTTAAAGGAGAAAAGGGCCGATTCCGGACACACAATAAAAAAAAAAACATATAGAAAGGTCAGTGGTAAAACATTTGGTAGATTTTACACTTAATATTTGATACATAAAAATAATGTATTATTGATCAAGACACTACCTTATGTTCATGGTGAACTCCGCTTCAGTATGTCGTATGCCTCTTAACATAAAGACAAACGGTAATGCTGAAGATAAAAAAAAGATATAGGCACCCACTCAAATACATGAAATTGTAACAGAGAACTTCATGTTTAACAATGAAATATAAACTAAAAACATGTCTTTGACTTGTTTTGAAACCAAAATCTCATGTCTCCCAGGAACAGTAACAATGAATATCACTGGTAAACTTGTGGAGGTATTAAAGCAAATGTCGTAAACGAATCATTCAAAAGTCGTATAAAAACAAATTGTTATTTGGCGACTCGCCTTGCATTACAAACTCAGGTCACGTGACATTACAAAATTAATTTTATGAGGAATTATCAACATTGACTAAGCAAATGAATCTGATCGCCAACAGTATTCAGGTATATAGAGCATAGTGATAATCCATAGCAATAAAGTTATAAAGTAATCAAGTAACAAACTATACCCAATAGCAATAATGTTATATTGTAATCAAGTAACAAACTATACCCTATAGCAATAATGTTATATAGTAATAAAGTAACAAACTATACCCCATAGAAATAATGTTATAAAGTAATCAAGTAACAAAGTATAACCCATAGCAATAATGTTATATAGTAATAAAGTAACAAACTATACCCCATAGAAATAATGTTATATAATAATCAAGTCACAAAGAATTCCCCATAGCAATAAGGTTATATAGTAATCAAGTAACAAAGAATTCCCCATAGCAATAAGGTTATATAGTAATCAAGTCACAAAGAATTCCCCATAGCAATAAGGTTATATAGTAATCAAGTAACAAAGAATTCCCCATAGCAATAATGTTATATAGTAATCAAGTAACAAAGAATTCCCCATAGCAATAAGGTTATATAGTAATCAAGTAACAAAGAATTCTCCATAGCAATAATGTTATATAATAATCAAGTAACAAAGAATTTCCCATAGCAATAATGTTAATAAAGTTATATAATGATCAAGTAACAAAGAATTCCGCAGAGCAATAATGTTAAATAATAATCAAGTTACAAAGAATTCTCCATAGCAATAATGTTATATAGTAATAAAGTAACAAAGAATTACACTTAGCAATAATGTTAATAATGTTATATAATAATCAAGTAACAAAGAATTCCCCATAGCAATGATGTTATATAGTGATAAAGTGACAAAGAATTCTCCATAGCAATAATGTTACATAATAATCAAGTAACAAAGAATTACACTTAGCATTAATGTTAATAATGTTATATAATAATCAAGTTCAAAGAATTCCCCATAGCAATAATGTTATATAATAATCAAGTAACAAAGAATTCCCCAGAGCAATAATGTTATATAGTAATCAAGTAACAAACTATAACCCATAGCAATAATGTTATATAATAATCAAGTTCAAAGAATTCCCCATAGCAATAATGTTATGTAGTGATAAAGTTACAAAAAATTCCCCATAGCAATAATGTTATATAATAATCAAGTAACAAAGAATTCCCCATAGCAATAATGTTATATAATAATCAAGTTACAAAAAAATCCCTATAGCAATAATGTGATACAGTAATCAAGTTACAAACTATACCCCATAGAAATAATGTTATATATTAATAAAGTAACAAAGTATACCCCATAGCAATAATGTGATACAGTAATCAAGTTACAAAGTATTCCCCATAGCAATAATGTGATACAGTAATCAAGTTACAAAGTATACCCCATAGCAATCAGTCGACAAACTTCTATTAACTATTTACTTAAAACTGTTTCCTCTTACCTTGCCTGTATTAAAACTTCCAGATTTACAAGCTGTGGGACGATTTTTGATGAACTGCAATGCCATTATCCATAATAACAAACGTTATTGCTAGTCTGTTTTATTGTAACTGTATTTGGGTGGAAGCAAGTACCCTACCACTGTCAATGTTCAAAGACAGTATTCATTGCCTGTTAATGTCACAAGCTATGACTTAACTGTATTTGGGTGGAAACAGCAATAAAAGAAGAGAACACTGATGTGTCAAAAAACAATTCCTCAAACTCAAATTTGTTGAAACTAGGCAAAATATGATAAAATGATATTATCAACATGGAGACAATTGAAAAACTACAACGAGAATAGACCAGGTGTTCAAAAGGAATACACATCTTCTAGTCCATCAAAGTGAAACACGCCGTGTAAATATAGGTACAATCCAAGTCATGCCACAAAACAAGAAACGGAATAGTGACAAGGAAACAGTGAAGGTCACTAATGAGCACAATCAAACACATTGACCATCATATAACACCAGAAATATTATACCATAACACTTATCTATATATCATCGTAACTCTATAAAAAATGTATGTAGTAAATTTGTACATCAGCAGCACACACCTATCAGAACAAAGCCCTTTTATACCACATCAACCCCGACCTGTGAACACAAGGAGTGGGGTTAGTAAAGGGTGTGTATACCAGGTACTTTATGTCTGCTGGAGTCTATCCCCTTTATTTATATCATGTTATAGCTGTAACGTAATCTCACCTAGGTAGCGGGCAGCCTTCAACCAGCGAAGCTTTTTGTCTGCAATATACATCATGTCTGCGGCCAGTCCTATCCCAAACACACAGCCACTGTACCCTACCAGTCTACTGTCAGCATAGGTGGCCAGTATCCTGTTGGTCCGTATTTTACCTGGGATTTTGTTTTGTTAAGGAAGAAGAACAAATGCTATTAAAACCTTGATGGTCCTGTAATTCTGCCCTCCCCTGCGGGGGGACCTTTCTACCCTAGTCTGATAACAGGTAGATCTATAGAGTATTAGAGCACTACCTCAACTATCAATGGGGAAGCCTCTTTCCATTGCTTTTGTTATGGGCAGACTTGGTATGTACCAGTTTTTAATTCTACTATCACATTGGTAGCAAAATAGTAATGATTAAAGGGACCCCTTCATTAATGAAAATGAATCTCGCTGTATTGATATTTACCCTTCGACCAACACACCAGAAACACAGTTAAATTACAGTATTACTTTCACTTTCATGTGATTCTAAAATTTTCAGAGAAAATTTTATTCTGATGCCAGAGTCAAAACTAAGCATTACCGATTGTTTTTTGCCGACTGATGGAAGTAATTTGAATGCGTGCCTACCAACTACTGTTCGTAATAGTACTTACCCCTAATAACATGGAGTGTGGCTGTGAGGACATCTTGACATCCAATGAGACCTTCTGCCACTCCATTTCCTGTTCCTGTAAAAGTATCGGAAGTCAATATGTAAAACAACGTAAAAAACAACATTCAGATCTGTGGTATGAAATTGTTTATTGATAATTCTTAAAACTATCCTTTTAAAACAATCTTTCAAGACAAGTAGCGGTTTAAAGAAGATCAGCATCATGCTAAGTGAGTACAAAAAGCCTAATTGTGGTTTATACTAACCTCTGAACACCTACATGATGTACCTGTAGGTATAACAGTCAGTGACTGTGAGGTCCTGACCTACACCTGAACACTTACCTGTAGGTATCACAGCCTGTGACTGTGAGGTCCTGACGACCTACACCTGAACACTTACCTGTAGGTATAACAGTCAGTGACTGTGAGGACCTGACCTACACCTGAACACTTACCTGTAGGTATCACAGCCTGTGACTGTGAGGTCCTGACGACCTACACCTGACCACTTACCTGTAGGTATAACAGTCAGTGACTGTGAGGTCCTGACCTACACCTGAACACTTACTTGTAGGTATAACAGCCTGTGACTGTGAGGTCCTGACCTACACCTGAACACTCACCTGTAGGTATCACAGTCTGTGACTGTGAGGGCCTGACTTACACCTGAACACTTACCTGTAGGTATTACAGCCAGTGACTGTGAGGTCCTGACGACCTACACCTGAACACTTACCTGTAGGTATAACAGCCAGTGACTGTAAGGTCCTGACCTACACCTGAACACTTACCTGTAGGTATAACAGCCAGTGGTGTGGATACCCTCTGGAGTTTAGCTGTAGGATCATTGTAGTCTACACCAGCTTCCTCTTGGGTTTTCCTCATCAGGACATTTATAATTTCTGTGAACGTGCCATCTCCTCCCATCATCACAATCCTGCAGACAAACAATAGAAAAATCCTCAAATTAATGATAATATTTTTCATGCAACACAAGTAATACAGTGTATATACAAGATTATTTGTTTTCATCAAGAGATTGACAGATCACTCACCCATCCATGGACTTGTAGTCATATGTTTTGAGAACCTCAATCAGATGTTTGGGTCTTTCCGAAACTGAAGTGTAAGACTGAAGTTGAGTTATAAGACTAAAAACTCAGAAAGGTAATGGTGACTAGGACTTAAACTTATCAGATATAAAATGTATACTACATTGTTTATACATGTAACTGTGGTAGATGTCCATTTACTCGATGTAGACTTAACATTAACTGTACATGTGCAGATTTAACACTTAACTGGATGATTAACTAACAGTTACTAAATGTAAACTAACTGAATATAGAACTAAGAACAAGAAACACTAACAAGGTAAAAACAACACTAACTAGATGTATTTTATTTTTAAACAATAATTTCAAAGTCTATTAAAACAATTCCTCCATTTTTTCAATGCAAGGAAAATTAAATTTGGAACATTAGATATAGAAACATTATTCAATAAGTACTGTACCTATGAGATGGCAGGAAATGTTGGCAAGCTCAAACAAAGGTGTCATTACGGTATCATACATAGTCCGGGCCTGTCTCTTCCCACCGATAGGGTTCATCAGAACGAGCAGCTTGTTTGGTCTCGTTTCTACCACTGTGGACACAACAACACAACAATTACGTGATAAATTCTCCAAATACAATAACATTAAATGAATAAAACAATACATCACAAACCTTTATCAAATACAATAACATTAAATGAATAAAACAACACATCACATACCTTTATCAAACTTGGCTTGCACTTTTTCCAGTATTATTTTGTAATCACATTCCTTCTCCGAGCTTGGAGATATCTTAACAGTGGCGTGACTCCATTTTGGATCATCTGGAACCTTCTTGATATAATGGATGATGGTTGATGAGGAGGAGGAAGGATTGGGATGATCTACAAATGATTCTGTTGATCCTGTACAAGTTGAGTCTTCCTTCTTTATGGCGATTATATCATCAAAGGCCAAGGTAACTGTGAAAATAGATCAATATGTTTAGAACAGAAAATATTCTACAATATTTCAGAATATAGTTTGGTTTACAGAGATAGATCTCTATTACTCAGGTTCTGGAATGTTTTGGTTCTGATAGTATATATTACATAACACAGTGTGACAATCATGCATGCACTTGCATACATTTCCCTTTACTAGAGATTTGCAGGTATTGAGTACACATACATTTCGCTTTACTAGAGATTTGCAAGTATTGAGTACACATACATTTCGCTTTACTAGAGATTTGCAGGTATTGAGTACACATACATTTCCCTTTACTAGAGATTTGCAGGTGTTGAGTACACATACATGTACATTTACCACTTAAAAAGTATATTTGTTATGAAAACCCTGTATTGCTCACCTGTTTAGTTAAACAATTTTGAAGGTAAAACATTATTATCATAAACAGTAAAACATGTTTTGCAAATTTCTTCCATTTTGAGCCCTGCCTCTCAGCAACAAGAAAGACTACACCCATCTTTTCTATGATGTTTGGTTCCCTAGTTCAAAGAATGCTTCATAGCATACAATATGATCAACTGGTCGGGAAGAATAGCCTTTTGTCAGAATAGCCTTTTGTCGACATATCAGAATCTCAACAGATTTCATGTTATGGTCCTATGACTAGTTACAAGGGTGATGCGTTACCCAAGGGCTGATTCCAGATGCCTGAATGTATTTGTCTCTTAATGCTCAGCAGATATATATGTAATTATAGGATGGGGATCATGGTCACTTCCAAGACAGGACTCCGGAATTATGTTCCCAGGCTGAGGTGGGACCTTATCAATGTACTCATGTGGTTTAATATTATTGGAACTTTGATTGTTTTAAGTAACACAGCTTTACACACAGCACATAAATACACATACATGAATGGTCAGCAGCATCAACACTGGATCCCTTCTCATCAGGACACGGTTCAATGGTCTTCGGCAATAACACCACAGTGTCATCCTCCACTGTACAGTAACACAGAATCCCGTCGGACTTCACCTCCAGTCGGACGGACATTGTAACCACAGGTGATACAACCAACTGTATTCAGAAAATTATCCCAAAAACAGGTTTAAAGATCAAGAGCATAAAAAGTTTTCATTCTTATGGAATTTCATCTTTATTATCAATTATTTATAAACTGTTTAAATGTCATATTTACATTCAAAACAATAACAAAAGTCTATTGTTAAATTTTGGAAGGTTAAAAATCTTTTTTTTTTTAATGGTGCAACAGTAGTTGTGTGGGGTGTTTTTTCTATGTTAACCATTTCTGTCAGGTCAATTAACCAAATACTTTAACAGTATGACAAAAAGATCCGAACAGTTTTCAAATGGATTTTTTTTATCATGTACATTCAGACACCCACCGATTTTTGTGCATCTGTGTCAACATTTCAACGATATTTGCTAAAAAGAACCTTGTAAACCCATTGCATCAAGCTAAAATGACCGCTTATAGAGTCTAAAGTTTTCAGTCCTAGCAGTACAACTAAATGAGACGAAATGTTGATATTGAATTCTTACATAGTTACAAAGAACCTAGTATCAACAATCAACTCTGGTATGACGCTGATCACCAAGACTCTGAGTTATTGCGATAACTTCTGACGCAAGATCATTCTAATGCTAAAGTGGTATATGTTTAGGTCACATGTTTGTTTCATTTATACTTTAAAGATCTCCAGAATTAAGGAGTGTGCAAATCCTAGCAGGTGAACACTTTGTGTATCGTTTTTAAATGCAGACGCAAGAGCTTGAAATCATATGCAATGATCAGATATATTAATTGCCTTGTTGATATTTTTAGTCCACACTAATTTAAACCGGTAGAGTTCTTTCTCTCGTTCACGATATATTTACCTTTTTCTGGACTCGGTTTTGGTCACAAGAAGTGAAAGTTTGACTGAATCAATTTAGAACTGGTGTAAATCGACGGCATCTAAAACAAACAAAGTATGGATACATTATGTAGGATGAGCTAATGTTCAGCTCGACCTACTTTCTCTTTGTGATCTGCATCTGTGGTATGTTTTAATTTATTGCGACTTAGTACAAGAGGTTTCCAAAGCGTCTATTTAACCAGTGGTTGTTTGTTGACATCTTCAAAGATGACTTCATACAGGTTAAAAATTGATGTTGATACAGATCTAGATGTGATTGTTGACGAAAATCATTTCACTTTCACGCACGTAAACGAAAAAGGTAAGTGCAGTGTGCTCTGATATTCGTCCCTACGTAATTATAATAATAAGGGGACTTTGGATAAAAGGGCACGCCCAGATGCTGCTGATGTTGTTTTCCGAAATTTATTTTTGCTGAAACATACATCGGATTTACTTTTCTAACCATATGTAAAAAAATTGTCGGTAGAAAAAGTGTGAAGTACAGCAATGTATGGAGTGTTTTTTTTATGCATTTTATTTCTTTTTGTGTTAACGTCAATGCAAGGGAAGTAACTCGTAATACATTGATGTAGAATTTTACATCATAAATTATTGAGTCCCATATTTATTGTTGTACGGTATTAATGTACTGGTCTGTGAGATGTCACTATGATTTACGTTCTGAAGGAGAAATATGTCCTCCATTCCTGTTCTGTTTTGTTTTGTTGGTTTGTTCATTAATTCAGGATATTTTGACCGACGCAGTATTTTAATTTAGATGTCATTAGCGGAATGAAATGACGGCAGGCGTAACATGAGTTGTTGCTGTTTTGTTGTATCCCAGACTTACCTGTGTTACTAAGCCAAGTACAGCACGCTTACATCATTTTAAGTAACACAGATGAACAATTAAATAAGGGACGTTATAAAATATGTTTTTCAGTAAAGTCTTAATATCTGCTTTTCAAAACAAAACACCTATTCTGTATTATTACACTTTGTATGATACAATTTGGCACGCGACTTGGACACTGAAATTTTTGCCGAAAATGGTGTTTGGACGCAGGTGCACCTCGTGAAGGCTGTTCGAGATTTCCTATTCTACTCTCAACAATGACTGAGGAATGCTCATCGGATACTTTATATAAATGATACCCCATTTTCCCGAGTTGTGAATGCTCTAATAGAGATTGGTCGGGAATACAAAATTGAAGCCTGTAATAAGCAGTCGTCTATATGACGTTCCGTGTCAAGTTTGTCATACCACTATTTGCCAAGATCTAATTATAACAATCATTTGATAACTTGGTTTGGATCCTTGGTACATGTACAAGTGTCGGTTCCATCCAACCCCACCACGCATGGCAATGTTCTTAAAGGTAGAGTGACAGCGCCAATAATAGAGCAATTATCTAACCGAAATAAAGACACTGCGATCGATGAATCGGTGCAGAATACACAAAGCAAGGGCCGTAATGAACATGTTGATCCTAAAGACACGCGAGATAAACGCACGAAATCAATTGCTTCTGCTCATTGGCAGAATACGCAACATCAACAACCTAATGAGGAAGCAGGGAAATCTACATACGAATTCCGTGGTGTTCGTCGTAGACCTAGAAGCAAAAGGCTCCTAATGTCGCGTATTACTGCAGATGCCACTGCAGATGAAGTTGTGAGCTCTCTGTAAGGTCATACGCAGCGGAAAGAGGAGTGAACGTCACTATGATGCGTATTGTTAAGTTCTGTGACACAGACTATCCTACTTACACGGCACGCATAAATGTTTGCGAAGAAAATTTCGCAACGGCAACCGATCCATACTTCTGTCCGGACGGTGTTCTTGTACGCGAGTGGGAGGATCGTGGCGATAATCGGTACAAAAATTGCGGGGGTGAACGGGAAGATAGCTACGGTAGTCGTTCCAACATTCCATACTCGTGGTGATTAACTCTATGTTGATGCTCTCGTTCTTACTATTTATTTTCGTGAGGCTTCTTACGTGGAACACTCGAGATTCTTCGCGATACGGACATTGCTGTTATAACGGAACATTTGTTACCGCCAGAACAGCTTAATTTTCTGAACAGTATTGACCGTAGTTTTGACTCGTTCGGACGGAGTGATTCACGCATCCCTATAGAGTTGGAACTGAGGACGCATCCGAGAGGGTTTAGTGGAATTGCTATTCTATGGAAGAAATACATGAAGATAACGCCCCTGATGAACGAAGGGAATGATCGTATGATAGGGGTCTCAGTACAACTGGTGTACACGTCGTCTGTGTATGGTTTCGGGATATTGATGCCGTCGACTAATCTATCTATGACTCTGTACCGAGAACTATTACAAGCGCTGTCTGATTTATATCAACGGTATAGCGAGGAAGGTACCGTTATTATTCTTGGCGACTTTAATGCACGTATATCGGAACGGTTTGGTAAAAAGAATCGCTACGAGGCAAACGACAGAGGTAAGCTCCTTGAGACTCTTATTATTGAAAACTATCTCATCTCTGTTAATTCACAACAGTGGTCGAAAGGAGGTGATGTGACTTATGTATCGTGGGACGGCTCGAAGAGCTCATTGATTGACCACATTTTAATAAGAACACATGATAAAGATAATGTAAAAACGTGCGAAATACACGACGACCATTTTCTTAACGCATCTGATCATCTACCTGTGTCGTTAGAATTCTGTTGTACTTTAAGGAACACACATAGAGATAGATTGTCGTCAAAGGCCGTTAATTGGAGAAAAGTGTCTTCCGAGCAAAAGGTTGCTTATGCCGGCAAAGTAGCGCAGATGATCGGTAATACTACTAAACTCCGCGAGACGAAGGATTTAGATGAACTCGACAGCTTAGTACAGGATATTGTTTCCGCGAATAAGGATTCAGCGAAAGCTACATTGCCAGTTAAGCAGTATCGTAATTACTTAAAACCATATTGGAACTTCGGAAGTGTTAAAGAACTGCATACGTCAATGAGGCAGTATCGTAGAGTGTGGATAGCTGAAGGACGTCCGCGCGGTACAGAACATAAATCATACAAAGATTATAAGGATTCAAAAAACATTTTTCGTAAAGCATTAACAGAAGCAAGGGAGCTATACGAACAGCAGCAACTCGACCACCTGCAGGAAGCAGCTGAAGTTGATATCGGCACATTCTATAAGGCTGTTCGGGTAAGAAAATGTAATGGTTACAGATGTTCAGAACTTGACAATAAAATCATCCGCGATTCAGATGAACTAAAGAATGTTTGGTTTGAGCACTATGATAGTCATCGGGCTAAGATACAGTTAGATATTCACGATATGTTCGTCAGAAGTTTTGCAAATATTGATGTTTTTTGCGATCGAGCTATTTCAATAAGTGAAACTGCGACAGCGATCAAGAGTATGAAGATATAGTCATCGAACATATTCGTTACGGTGATAAAAGTCTGCTGGACGCGATCGTTATACTCTTCAATCAAATACTGACAAAGGAGGAATACCCAGTACATTTTAAAAAAGGTATAGTAATAACATTATTCAAAGGTGGCAATAAAGACAAATTGAATAAAAACAATTATAGAGACATCACGTTAACGCCAGTTCTGCAAAAGCTATTCGAAACAGTTATATATCAGAGGTTAACAGTTCGATGTGCTGAAATGCAGTTTCCGCATAGACTACAACCGGGATTTAGAGCGGAATGTGGAAGTATTATGGCAGCGTTCACTGTCAAGGAATCGATATGTCATTTTATCGAAAATAGGACAAAAGTATTTGCTACCTTCTTGGACAATGCAAAAGCATTTAGATAGACGGGCTATTACATAAGGTGTACAGACTCGGTTTTAATGGTAAATTTTGGAGAATACTGCAAAATTCGTTTCAAAACGTGACCTCGCGTGTACTGTATGACGGCAAAATTAGTAAAGACTATCCAGTTAAGCAAGGGGTCGGTCAAGGGAGAACTTTATCAGCCTGGCTATTCCTCGTTATGATAAACGGTCTCGCACGTGCTCTGGATGAAGCGGAACAGGGTTTGCAGATTCAAAAGCTATAAATCCCCTGCGTACTATAAGCTGATGACACGCTCTTATTAGCTAGAAGCATCACGAATCTCCAAGCTCAACTAGATAACGTAAATGCGTATGCTAATCTTTGGAGGCTAAATTATAACTCTGCTAAATCTTAGCTGATGGAATTTTCATATAAGAGACGAATCGTCAATAAACCATCAGCTGTATGTTCTCTGGGAGGTGCGATTATCGAATGGACCGATACAAAGGTTTACGCGGGAATTACTTTTTGTTCAAACCTAAAAGCTCATGTCGGTATAGAAAGCGCGTGCGACAAAGGTAGAAGGAACCTTAACAGTCTAATGAGTCTTGGTATCCATCCAGGCGGATTGAATCCTCTCAAAAGTGCGCAACTCATTAAAGCAATTATCATACCAGGTGTTATATACGGATGTGAACTTTGGGCAAATGCTACGCAGAAGTCTATTGATATGTTAAATAGAACCATGCGGTATGCTGCACGAAGATGCCAGGGTTTTGAGAAAACTTCGTCGTCGGCCATAACTACCAGAGCAATTGACTTACCTGATGATTTATGGTGTGATGTAGAAATCAGAAAACTGTAAAATTATCTTTTGTCTCGAAATCTCTATTTATTATTCGCTTATGTACATTCATGTTCACCTCACAATCGTTTCAAAAGTTCATCAATATATTGGACCCAATCCCTTATGGTCTCTAACGTTAAAATTGCCTAAAAGCACATGGAAAATTTGTGAATTAATCAAGCTTTCCTACAGGGCCGAATTCCAAAATATGATCTGTAAATTGTGCAAAATAGTTGTGAACAGTGACGTTAAACATTTCATTATACAATGTCCCACATTATTTAAAAGTAGAGACATCTTGCTGGAACAAATAGTTAATCTTATAAGCGTTGAAAAATATGTGCAATACGAATTGCTAGAGGAAGACGAAAAATGTTCTTTTGTTCTTGGTGGAAGGAACGATATTTCTTTGGACGATGGAGAATTGGACAATCTGATGGTTGCTATAAGTGACAAACTTGCTGGGATGTTCACAGAAATGAACATACCTTTCCAAAGCAGCTCTAGCTCTTAAGCATAGTTTGAAGAATACTGTAAGAAATTGTAGTATTATGTAAATATGTAGTGTTCTGTAAATTGTTGAAATTGTTAAAAACGACAAGACCATGTAATCTCTTATTAGAGGAAATAATGAATGTCTGGCTGTCAGTCATGTGTGATTGTCCAAGAAGAGAACAGAAACAATAAAGAATTTACTTACCTGCGATATAAAATATCTTTCAATAGTATTAATGGAAGCCCAGATTATATCGTCTTTATGGCAGGGCTGCTAGCCCCGTGCTCAACCCCCTAGTTTTTCGTTGATTCTATCCATTAGCTACGGGTTATAGTTATTTTTTGCGCCTGATACAGTTCTTTTACAATTGTCTTTCTGATATAGCACGATTAGAGCGCTACAACTGACTACCTGACAGTTAGACGATCTTTTAAGAGATCTAGACCGTGTGTGTTCACTCAGCGTTTTGTTGTGCAAACCCAGTGACACAGCTTTGTCCCACCGAGACCGATAACCTATGCAACTTTCCTCCCAGATGTTAAGAACAGTGACGCCTTTCTGATCGACCTCTTCTACTGCCCTTTATTTAGTACCCCAAACGAAGTTGGGCTATTGTTTTACTTATTACAGTACGTATCTCCTCCTTCTTCATCTTATTATTTTCATTCCGCCAAATTGGTTTCCGGATGTTTATTTAGAGATGACTTGTTGGATACGTTTGAAACGTGTCATGGGCATTCGTAGGTTAACGTGTAGATGTACGTAATCTGTAGATGTACGTAACGCGTTGATGTACGTAACGCATTTTATTTCCGATCGGTAAACAAACATGGCAAACATACCAACATACATGTTCTGTTAACATAGAAACGCTACACTTAATAAAACCACACCAAATAATCGTTCCATTTCCCAGCTCTCACATTAAGTACTGTACATTCTAATAACTAATACATCAATTGTTGGACGGTATTTTCCAATTTTCAAGATAAGCAAAATTTCATATCTTGTTAAAACTAAAGAATGTTAGGGGGAAATACTGCCTGACTGGCAAGCTACTAGTGATGCGGTATAGCCCGAGGACCCGCTCACTAAATCATGGATGACCGCCCGCACGTTACAATCTGTTGTTTAAGTACTGTATGTTCTCATACTGTTTTACAGTGTGTGTTGAGTTTCCTGACCTGGTAGCTGTGTCGGACCAGACTTCTGAAAACAATGACCAGGAACAGTCCGTTACTTTACACTATATCAAACAATCAGCATTTTCACTATCAAAGGAAGTTATCAAGGTCTGTGGTGAAGCTTCTATTGTCAAACAGTTTCTAGAACATGTACGAGCCAAATTTAAGAAGGGTAAGTATAAAACCATTATTTCCTAAAAAAAAACCACCACGAAGTCAACATCTCATATATAAAAATAAATTTTCTATCCACAAACACATATATGATGTAGCACGTTTTGTCTCCGCGGAATAACACAGTAATCAGGTTGATAATATGCTGATGTATTCCTACGCTAACTGGAAAGTTCAGTGAAAAATAACCTTTAAAATGTTTAGTAGGTATATTGATTCCAAGTTCAGTAGAGATGTAAATATTTGCTATTGACCTTGTACACAGAACTGTATGAACATTTCGCCCATTTGGTCACATTATCATACTGTAGTGTCAAAATGTCGAGTTTACTGGTTGCTCTACTGACGTAAACCGTTGTGACCAAATAAACCGTCTAGTTGCTGGCTCGTTTCAAACGATAACTTTTATATTTAAAGAAACATGTTGAAATTTTGTATTTCATTGTTGACCCTGGCGACCTCGTGCATTTTTGTAGCATTCCCAACTCAACTCAAAGGAAAGGGATTTCGGAGGTGTTTTTTTTATCAGAGCCAGGGATCGTTTACACAACCCCTCTAAATTTTGAAATTTTGCCTATATAAAACTATTAATCCCGTGTCTTTTTCTTGAGAAAACTTTTGTTTGATCTTTAAGATTGTGCTACTTGTTTAATAAAATTGATCACATTTTGTGAATTCATGTTTTAGTACCTACTTCAAAACCAAGACATTTCCTTGTGTTTATCAACCCTATTGGAGGAAAAGGGACGGGAGTGAAAACATTTGAAGACACTGTTAAACCACTGTTTGACCTCGCAAGTATTACGTACCAGGTTGTAGGTAAGCTCGTTTATTCTGTTACATACCGGGTAATGCGTCACACATTTGGTGCAAGATCTTTTATTCCAATTAACAGCGACATGTAGACACCGTAGGATGGGAAAACCAGGATGTTACTGTCAAGAGATGGAAAGTTCACGATAGGAGATTTGAAATCGTTACACGTATCGTAAATCGTAATAGTATACCGTCCTTGTAATTGATGTTGCAAGAATAAATCGACGAAAGCGCTGAAGTAGAATCGTTTATACTGTCCTTGATTTAATTTTCAGCAGTTTTTACAATACAGTTGACGACGTCAATAAAAAAATTGAAGAACTTGATAAGGTCCTGATAATCTCTTTTAAATATTCAGCCTCATATGACAAAATGAGAGTCGATAAAAAGGGCGGTACTATTTCTTTCTAGAGGAACGTCTGCAGTTTGTTGGAAAGTTTTTCTAACGTAAACACCAAAATATTTTCAACCAGGAACTCAATCATTATCATGATTTCATTCTCAGTTTTTTTTCTTGGTTTTTGTCCTATCGTTTTCACAATATACGCTCCAGAGAGTTTACAAATTTTTGTTTATATCATCGTTCGTATTTCTAGGAAAAGAAAGCTATCAAAATAAGAGAACGAAGACATACATTTAGTTTGGTACTAAGTTTGGTAGTGTAAAAAGGGAACTTACAAAAGATACATTTTGGAGGAAAGGATGTTAAAGATTGATAAACATTTTTTAAAACTCTTTAAATCCATTAAATCAATGAAAAAGAATAATTCTAATTGAAAAAAGTCAACTTATTCAGAAAAACAATCTGAGAAATGATATCGATGAAAGGTAAAGAAAATTATATATTTTGGAACAGTTTCAATTATGATTCCTATAAATAAAGCTATGAACCATGTTACTACTTTCATGTTTAACATGTAGATTACAGAGGGGGAAACATTTTTGTTCATTTCTTTAGAAATCTCGCTACATCAGCCGCAATTTGAATGGGAGGTTTGTCATTTTGAAATGCCAGAAAAAATGCATTTACAGAGTACTTCTGTAAAGAATAAACTTTTTGAAAAATAATTGCGGCCAACTACTTAACTTATATCGGCTCCTTTACCGATATTGAGAGTAACATATTGTACATCTTATCCCAGCAGAGACTTGAACAATACTATCACTACATTATACGTATCTTTTCTTATTGCTTGATATCTAGTATCGGAGAGAGCGAATGTTTGTACTGAAGTGATGGAGTCTCAGGACCTTACACACGTTGACGGGTAAGACGTTTCCAATCAGTTCATGTTATGTCATACTGTCAACTCTGATAAAGGTAACACACATATCAAAATTACAGTATAGGCACTAGAATTTAGTGTGATGAGAATAATACGTTCACCTCTGCTGTGACATACGCATGTGATAGTAGGATTTGTTTCATCTTTTCATAACAGTAGTGTTTGTTTTTGTCCTGGTAGATGTGTTAACCAACTTTACTTGATATTACTCTAATTTTATACATCGTCTTTGTTTGATATTACAGTCGTGTGCGAACCGTTTTGTTTGACAATTCATTTATTTGTCACCTTTCTTTGTGCACAAGACACCAGTAATATGTCACACAGTCTCTGTGTGTGAGATGACATCGGTGTGTTTCACTCTCACTGCACCAGACACCAGTAATATGTCATACAGTCTCTGTGTGTGAGATGACATCGGTGTGTTTCACTGTCACTGCGTCAGACACCAGTACTATGTCACACAGTCTCTGTGTGTGAGATGACATCGATGTGTTCCACTCTCACTGCACCAGACACCAGTAAATGTCACACAGTCTCTGTGTTTGAGATGACATCGATGTGTTCCACTCCCACTGCGTCAGACACCAGTAATATGTCACACAGTCTTTGTGTGTGAGATGACAACGATGTGTTTCACTGTCACTGCGTCAGACACCAGGTATATGTCACACAGTCGCTGTGTGTGAGATGACAACGATGTGTTTCACTGCCACTGCGTCAGACAACAGTAATATGTCACACAGTCTTTGTGTGTGAGATGACATCGATGTGTTCAACTCTCACTGCACCAGACACCAGCAATATGTCACACAGTCGCTGTGTTTGAGATGAAATCGATGTGTTTCACTCCCACTGCGTCAGACCCCAGTAATATGTCACACAGTCTCTATGTTTGAGATGACATCGGTGTGTGTTCACAATGTCACACAGTCTCTGTGTGTGAGATGACATCGGTGTGTTTAACTCTCACTGCGTCAGACACCTGTACTATGTCACACAGTCTCTGTGTTTGAGATGACATCGGTGTGTTTAACTCTCACTGCGTCAGGCACCAGTACTATGTCATACAGTCTCTGTGTGTGAAATGACATCGGTGTGTTTCACTCTCACTGCGTCAGATACCAGTACTATGTCACACAGTCTCTGTGTGTGAGATGACATCGGTGTGTTTCACTCTCACTGCGCCAGACACCAGCAATATGTCACACAGTCTCTGTGTGTGAGATGACATCGATGTGTTTCACTCTCACTGCGTCAGACACCAGTACTATGTCACTCAGTCTCTGTGTGTGAGATGACATCGGTGTGTTCCACTCTCACTGCGTCAGACACCAGTAATATGTCACACAGTCTCTGTGTGTGAGATGGCATCGGTGTGTTTCACTCTCACTGCGTCAGACACCAGTACTATGTCACACAGTCTCTGTGTGTGAGATGATATCGGTGTGTTTAACTCTCACTGCGTCAGACACCTGTACTATGTCACACAGTCTCTGTGATTGAGATGACATCGGTGTGTTTAACTCTCACTGCGCCAGACACCAGTACTATGTCATACAGTCTCTGTGTGTGAAATGACATCGGTGTGTTTAACTCTCACTGCGTCAGGCACCAGTACTATGTCATACAGTCTCTGTGTGTGAGATGACAGCGGTGTGTTTAACTCTCACTGCGTCAGAGACCAGTACTATGTCACACAGTCTCTGTGTGTGAGATGACATCGGTGGGTTTAACTCTCACTGCGTCAGACACCAGTACTATGTCATACAGTCTCTGTGTGTGAGATGACAGCGGTGTGTTTAACTCTCACTGCGTCAGAGACCAGTACTATGTCATACAGTCTCTGTGTGTGAGATGACAGCGGTGTGTTTAACTCTCACTGCGTCAGAGACCAGTACTATGTCACACAGTCTCTGTGTGTGAGATGATATCGGTGTGTTTAACTCTCACTGCGTCAGACACCAGTAATATGTCACACAGTCTCTGTGTTTGAGATGACATCGGTGTGTTTAACTCTCACTGCGGCAGACACCAGTACTATGTCATACAGTCTCTGTGTGTGAGATGACATAGGTGAGTTTCACTGTCACTGCGTCAGACACCAGTACTATGTCATAAAGTCTCTGTGTGTGAGATGACATCGATGTGTTTCACTCCCACTGCGTCAGACACCAGTAATATGTCATACAGTCTCTGTGTTTGAGATGACATCGGGGTGTTTAACTGTCACTGCGTCAGACACCAGTAATATGTCATACAGTCTCTGTGTGTGAGATGACACCGATGTGTTTCACTGTCACTGCCTCAGACACCAGTACTATGTCATACAGTCTCTGTGTGTGAGATGACAGCGGTGTGTTTAACTCTCACTGCGTCAGAGACCAGTACTATGTCACACAGTCTCTGTGTGTGAGATGATATCGGTGTGTTTAACTCTCACTGCGTCAGACACCTGTACTATGTCACACCATCGGTGTGTTTCACTGTCACTGCGTCAGACACCCGTACTATGTCATACAGTCTCTGTGTGTGGGATGACATCGGTGTGTTTAACTCTCACTGCGTCAGACACCAGTAATATGTCATACAGTCTCTGTGTGTGAGATGACACCGATGTGTTTCACTGTCACTGCGTCAGACACCAGTACTATGTCATACAGTCTCTTTGTGTGAGATGACATCGATGTGTTTCACTCCAACTGCGTCAGACACCAGTACTATGTCATACAGTCTCTGAGTGTGAGATGACATCGGTGTGTGTTCACTGTCACTGCGTCAGACACCGTAAAAACCATAGACCGTATATACACAGTACGACATCATAGTGACAGCACCTTTATAGTAAAAACCATAGACCGTATATACAGAGTACGACATCATAGTGACAGTACCTTCATAGTAAAAACCATAGACTGTATATACATAGTACGACATCATAGTGACAGTACCTTCATAGTAAAAACCATAGACTGTATATACATAGTACGACATCATAGTGACAGTACCTTTATAGTAAAAACCATAGACTGTATATACATAGTACGACATCATAGTGACAGTACCTTCATAGTAAAAACCATAGACTGTATATACATAGTACGACATCATAGTGACAGTACCTTCATAGTAAAAACCATAGACTGTATATACACAGTACGACATCATAGTGACAGTACTGTGTATATACGGTCTATTGTTTCACTGTCACTGCGTCAGACACCAGTAATACCTAGATGACATCGGTGTGTTTCACTCTCACTGCGTCAGACACCAGAACTATGTCACACAGACTCTGTGTGTGAGATGACATCGGTGTGATTCACTGTCACTGCGTCAGACACCAGTACTACGTCATACAGTCTCTGTGTGTGAGATGACAGCGGTGGGTTTCACTGTCACTGCGTCAGACACCAGTACTACGTCATACAGTCTCTGTGTGTGAGATGACAGCGGTGGGTTTCACTGTCACTGCGTCAGACACCAGTAATACCTAGATGACATCGGTGTGTTTCACTCTCACTGCGTCAGATACCAGTACTATGTCACACAGTCTCTGTGTGTGAGATGACACCGATGTGTTTCACTGTCACTGCCTCAGACACCAGTACTATGTCATACAGTCTCTGAGTGTGAGATGACATCGGTGTGTGTTCACTGTCACTGCGTCAGACACCAGTAATACCTAGATGACATCGGTGTGTTTCACTCTCACTGCGTCAGATACCAGTACTATGTCACACAGTCTCTGTGTGTGAGATGACACCGATGTGTTTCACTCTCACTGCGTCAGACACCAGAACTATGTCACACAGACTCTGTGTGTGAGATGACATCGGTGTGTGTTCACTGTCACTGCGTCAGACACCGTAAAAACCATAGACCGTATATACACAGTACGACATCATAGTGACAGCACCTTTATAGTAAAAACCATAGACCGTATATACACAGTACGACATCATAGTGACAGTACTGTGTATATACGGTCTATTGTTTCACTGTCACTGCGTCAGACACCAGTACTATGTCACACAGTCTCTGTGTGTGAGATGACATCGGTGTGTGTTCACTGTCACTGCGTCAGACACCAGTAATACCTCACAACCTCTCTTTGTTGGCAGTATTGTCGTCTGTGGAGGAGATGGTACTCTCTCTGAGGTCACTAATGTTCTACTGAGGAGAACGATGGTGGCTGCAGACTTGGACTTCAATGACCCGAAAGTCAAGGTTCCAACAACTGCCATTCCGATTGGACATATCCCTACAGGTAAAATGATATCACTTGTTTGTAGTGTGTTCCCTGTATAATAAGGTATACAATCATACAACTACATTTTACTTCTTATCATCATATACATTTTACTCAAGTTTCTATCCAATTACTAGCGGAGAATTTTTGAAGTATATTTTTTTAAGGTTATTTTGATTTGGTCCGAAGGACCATGGTGAGCTTATGCAATACCGCAGCGTTCGTCGTCCGTCCGTCAGTCAAAATCCTTCTTCTACCGTAGGGACTAAGGGATTTTATCCTTATTTAATCTGGAGCATCCTTGGGCCAAGGGGACTCAATTTTGTATTTAAAGTTGGTGTGGCCCCCTGGGGGCAGGGGGGAGGGGAGAAGTGGGGGGGCGTATATGAGAAATAGATGTAAACCTTTAAAATCCTTCTTTTACCATAGGGATTAAGGGATTTCATCTAAATTTGGTTTTGAGCATCTTTGGGCAAAAGGGACTTAGTTTTGTATAAACAGTGAGTGTGGCCTCCATGGGGAAGGGAAATCAATTTTGTATAATTGGTGGGTCTGAGCCTATTGGGGCCTGAGGGGTGAGGCCCATGGGGTAATTTAAGCAAATTCTTTAAAATTCTTCTTCTTCTGTAGGAATGACAGGATTTTGTCCGTATTTGGTCTAAAGCATCCTTTTGTGAAGGGGACCTAATTTTGTATAAACGGTGGGTCTGACCCCTCTGGGGGCAGAGAGGCGGGGCCCTATAGGGGATACAGAGGAACAGCTTTATTATCCCTTTTCTTACGTAGGGATGAAGGTATTCTAACCAAATTTAAACAGTAGCATCAGATGGGAAGGGAAATCAATTGTATAAATGGTGTGTTTAAACCCCATGGGGGCGGGGCCAAATAGGGAAAGTAGAAAAATAGCTTTAAAACTCGTTTTCTTCTGTAGGAATGACCGGATTTTGTCCATATTTGGTCTAAAGCATCCTTGGGTGAAGGGGACTAAATTTGGTATCAACCGTGGGTCTGACCCCCCTGTAGGAATGACAGGATTTTGTCCAATTGCATATACATATAACCCCTGACTAACCATGTAATACATGTACACTACCAGCAACATCTGGCTATTTCAACTTCAAATTTGCTAAAGTTTCCAGGTGGGCGATACAGGTCCTCTAGGCTACTTGTTAAATATATCGACATTAATTTTATGCTTTCTAAATGAATGCTACATGTGATTGTGTGACTCTGAAGATACTGTCACTATGATGTCGTACTGTGTATATACGGTCTATGGTTTTTACTATAAAGGTACTGTCACTATGATGTCGTACTATGTATATACGGTCTATGGTTTTTACTATAAAGGTACTGTCACTATCATGTCGTACTATGTATAAACAGTCAATTGTTTTTACTATAAAGGTACTGTTACTATGATGTCGTACTGTGTATATACGGTCTATGGTTTTTACTATAAAGGCACTGTCACTATGATGTCGTACTGTGTATTTACGGTCTATGTTTTTTACTATAAAGGTACTGTCACTATGATGTCGTACTGTGTATTTACGGTCAATGATTTTTACTATAAAGGTACTGTCACTGTGATGTCGTACTGTGTATATACAGTCTATGGGTTTTACTATAAAGGTACTGTCACTATGATGTCGTAATCTGTATATACGGTCTATGGTTTTTACTATAAAGGTACTGTCACTATGATGTCGTACTGTGTATTTACGGTCAATGATTTTTACTATAAAGGTACTGTCACTGTGATGTCGTACTGTGTATATACGGTCTATGGTTTTTACTATAAAGGTACTGTCACTATGATGTCGTACTGTGTATTTACGGTCTATGTTTTTTACTATAAAGGTACTGTCACTATGATGTCGTACTGTTTATATACGGTCTATGGTTTTTACTATAAAGGTACTGTCACTATGATGTCGTACTGTGTATATACGGTCTATGGTTTTTACTATAAAGGTACTGTCACTATGATGTCGTACTGTGTATATACGGTCTATGGTTTTTACTATAAAGGTACTGTCACTATGATGTCGTACTGTGTATATACGGTCTATGGTTTTTACTATAAAGGTACTGTCACTATGATGTCGTACTATGTATATACAGTCAATGGTTTTTACTATAAAGGTACTGTCACTATGATGTCGTACTCTGTATATACGGTCTATGGTTTTTACTATAAAGGTACTGTCACTATGATGTCGTACTGTGTATATACGGTCTATGGTTTTTACTATAAAGGTACTGTCACTATGATGTCGTACTGTGTATATACGGTCTATGGTTTTTACTATAAAGGTACTGTCACTATGATGTCGTACTGTGTATATACGGTCTATGGTTTTTACTATAAAGGTACTGTCACTATGATGTCGTACTGTGTATATACGGTCTATGGTTTTTACTATAAAGGTACTGTCACTATGATGTCGTACTGTGTATATACGGTCTATGGTTTTTACTATAAAGGTACTGTCACTATGATGTCGTACTGTGTATATACGGTCTATGGTTTTTACTATAAAGGTACTGTCACTATGATGTCGTACTCTGTATATACGGTCTATGGTTTTTACTATAAAGGTACTGTCACTGTGATGTCGTACTCTGTATATACGGTCTATGGTTTTTACTATAAAGGTACTGTCACTGTGATGTCGTACTCTGTATATACGGTCTATGGTTTTTACTATAAAGGTACTGTCACTGTGATGTCGTACTGTGTATATACGGTCTATGGTTTTAACTATAAAGGTACTGTCACTATGATGTCGTACTATGTATATACAGTCTATGGTTTTTACTATAAAGGTACTGTCACTATGATGTCGTACTGTGTATATACGGTCTATTGTTTTTACTATAAAGGTACTGTCACTATGATGTCGTACTGTGTATATACGGTCTATTGTTTTTACTATAAAGATACTGTCACTATGATGTCGTACTGTGTATATACAGTCTATGGTTTTTACTATAAAGGTACTGCCAATGTGATGTCATATTGCTGCAATGGTTGCGTGGACATTGTTACAGCAACACTGAGTATAATCAAAGGTAAGTAATGCAAAGTGTTACAGGTAAACGTACAGAGTCGTGTGTTACTGAAAGTAAATATACACTCTCTTTGAAAGTACGTTTAATCTTGAGTGTTTTTTTCTACTTACTCTATACATTTTACATTTTTTTGTTTTTAGACGACACTCATTCCATAGGAACCTATGTAACTTTTCTGTACTTCTTGGTAAAATGCACTTCAAAATATAGGATACCGTTCTCGATATTCATATGTTCTCTACATCCTGGGATATATCTTGAAAAATTCGACTAAACTTGTTCATGATACGAGCTGACTAGTCTGGAAAGTCTGCTCCTTTTGCTTTCTTCAATACAAGATCAATGGATTGCGCGGCAGCAAAACGGTAATAGTGATCGCCTTTGAATTTGGTGTAGCTTCTCTGTAATCTTCAAAGGAAATGTTTCGGCCTAGCAATTACCCAGTTTTATTACTGAAACCAATCGAATGGCTAATCCAAATGTGCAGAGAAAATATGTGAATGCGGAACCCTTTGATTTCGAGATGTCATTCCATATCAATCGAAGTTATTATCTCACAGTTTGGGATGTCATGTTGATATTTATGAATATCTAGGGAACACTCGCCCTATTGGAGCCAGTGGAGTATACAGTGGAGGAAAACTGATCCGATACAGTCTGGTGGGCGTCAGTAGCGGCTTCATCGCTGATATGATGGACAGGAGAGACCAGCTGAGGTGGATGGGCATGTTCAGACTGCTCTGTGAGTAACATGGTGGAGACCACTGTATGATTACCATTTTGGAGTATTTAATAAAATCCAAGATGGCCACCGAGCATTGTGATTGAATGGTGCACCATGATCTGTAAATGAAATGTTTGTCACCTTCATACATATATATATAATATATATATATACGAGTTTCTTGGGTACCAGGGTTCGTACTACAATGACTACATCAGATGCTTTCTATTGTTATAGGGGTACCTATTCAGATGCTTTTTAGCGGATTTCGGAACTTTACAACTGAAATAACCCTCGACACAAGGTAGGGTTGCTCTTACATACATATACATAACATATAACAATGCTACATTGTACAAGTGGGTCGCATTTGATGTAGATTATTTTTGGGAAAGTGTTTTCTCAAAGCTGCATAAAATGCTCGAAATTAGCTTCAACATTTTGATAAGAATGATGTAGGCTAAGCTTGTTTTGAACACGAACAGTGTTTTCAAGTAAAGAGTGCGATTGACCTGTGTCTCGACTCTAGACCTCCGGAAGCAACTCAAAAATCTTCAATTTGTCGCGTCAGTAAAAAAAGAAAAGAAAAAAAAGAAGACACATTTCGTAAAAGCAAACTTAGCATTTATTATGCATACAATTCTCTACGTTTTAAAATATCCGTTAAGAACGACGAAAATGTTATTAAGAATGCTTGTGAAGAAATTAAATACGTATTAAATAAAAAAAAAATTAAACAAATATACTTCTGGGAATAAGACACCAGCATCGACCATTCGTATTCATAGTAAAGAGGGGCTTAGATATATTGGGATTGCCCCCTTTCGGCCCCTGACATCACCGTTGAGTCCTAGAAGGACAACATGTTATGGTGTAGTGTCATTCATTATAGTGAAACTTTCCTATTAAAAACCTTGATAGTGCAATCCCGTGTCTTATGTTTATTTGTATACAAGTTAAATGATGTAACAGTGTAACCAGATCATTATTAGGATTGATGAAGTTAAATGATGTAACAGTGTAACCAGATCATTGTCAGGATTGATCAAGTTAAATGATGTAGCAGTGTAACCAGATCATTATTAGGCTTGATCAAGTTAAATGATGTAACAGTGCAACCATATCATTATTAGGATTGATCAAGTTAAATGATGTAGCAGTGTAACCAGATCATTATTAGGATTCATCAAGTTAAGTGATGTAACAGTGTAACCATATCATTATTAGGATTGATCAAGTTAAATGATGTAACAGTGTAACCAGATCATTATTAGGATTCATCAAGTTAAATGATGTAACAGTGTAACCATATCATTATTAGGATTGATCAAGTTAACGGATGAAACAGTGTATCCAGATCATTATTAGGATTGATCAAGTTAAATGATGTAACAGTGTAACCAGATCATTATTAGGACTGATCAAGTTAAATGATGTAACAGTGTAACCAGACCATTATTAGGATTGATCAAGTTAAATGATGTAACAGTGTAACGAGATCATTATTAGGATTGATCAAGTTAAATGATGTAACAGTGTAACGAGATCATTATTAGGATTGATAAAGTTAAATGATGTAACAGTGTAACGAGATCATTATGAGGATTGATCAAGTTAAATGATGTAACAGTGTAACCAGATCATTATTAGGACTGATCAAGTTAAATGATGTAACAGTGTAACCAGATTATTATTAAGATTGATCAAGTTAAATGATGTAACAGTGTAAACAGATTATTATAAGGATTGATCAAGTTAAATGATGTTACAGTGTAATCAGGTCATTATTAGGATTGATCAAGTTAAATGATGTAACAGTGTAACCAGATTATTATAAGGATTGATCAAGTTAAATGATGTTACAGTGTAATCAGATCATTATTAGGATTGATCAAGTTAAATGATGTAACAGTGTAACCAGATCATTATTAGGATTGATCAAGTTAAATGATGTAACAGTGTAACCAGATCATTATTAGGATTGATCAAGTTAAATGATGTTACAGTGTTACCAGATCATTGTTAGGATTGATAAAGTTAAATGATGTAAGAGTGTAACGAGATCATTATTAGGATTGATCAAGTTAAATGATTTTACAGTGTTACCAGATCATTGTTAGGATTGATAAGGTTAAATGATGTAAGAGTGTAACGAGATCATTATTAGGATTGATCAAGTTAAATGATGTTACAGTGCAACGAGATCATTATTAAGATTGATCAAGCTAAATGATGTAACAGTGTAACCAGATCATTATTAGGATTGATCAAGTTAAATGATGTTACAGTGTAACGAGATCATTATTAAGATTGATCAAGTTAAATGATGTAACAGTGTAACCAGATCATTATAAGAATTGATCAATTAGGCATCCAGATAAATAGTAGGCTAAATAAATTATGTATACTTTTGGTTGTCTGATCTTCCAGTAGAGAGAAACTGATATAGATACGTCATGAATTTATTTCCAGGAAGAAAAAGCCAATGACGGAAGGCGACAAAGAAGAAATTACCTACACCAAAAGGGAAGGTAATCCACATTATTTACTTTATTTCAGAAATACTCACAGCATTAGAAACGGGTGTTCCTCTTCTTCTTTAGTGAAATAATAGTCTATCCTATCGCAATCTACTGGCAGAACCCGTTGAATCCTAACATAATGGTTATGCACATTGTGTTTATGATTTTATAAAAATCTTAGCCTTCCGATGAATCCAGAGAAAAAACGAAAAAAATGACTTTTCGCCCATTTTCCTTTTTTACCATTTAGTTGGGATATATGACAATATTTAGAACTATAATAACACTTAGTTAGAAAAGGGGGGAAAAATGTCAATTAACCAAATTTCATTCATCAAAAATATCAACAACACATTACACTGGATAAATATAATGATAAGTATCTAGTTATGCAAACAAGTACAAAAGTGGAATTGTACACATTTCTTTTTGTCTCATTTTATGTATTTCAAAAACAATTCGTTCTTATGAGAGTGATGCTCATTGAATATATGGAACCTTCATATTTAGAGTTATCTCACTTCACATACTTACCTAAAAAGGTTGAAATTCAACTAATATTATGTCAGTATTAAAATATGTTATCAAAATTGGCACATCAACTTCACTAGCATCTAGGTTACAAAATACAAGTTCTGTGAGACTATTCATACCTCAATGTTTGCTGTTCACACGTGCGCCTTTAGCCATGCATTTCCACTGGGATCTCGATGTTTTACAGTACAGTAATTTCGCAGTCAATCATATATATATTAACGTGATTTACAGTATACCTGATTAAGTGTTACGTGTTTGGCGTGTTGCAGATATCTTATTACGGCCTCGTGATGATGGTACCCAAAAAAACAAATGTCCACATCCGCTTCATACATCATCTTCTGGGAGTGATTTTCTCGTGTGTCATTATCTTCCCAGGACTCAGTATATGTCCTGTTTCGCAAGATTGCGTGAAACAACTTTCCTAGGGTCTTTACATACATATTTCCAAGTAACGTCTTGACATCGTGTTGTGATAGCACATGTACTCCAGTGTTAATTATGGTTTACATTACCGCTGTGAAATGCCTGATATACAACACGAAATGAAAACGAGAAAATACAAGATATCCGTATAACTCGAGGGTGGAGTCTCCTTATGCAGTTTTGCTCAGTAACCCAACACATAAATCGTATGGTGATCAGAAAAAAAGAGTTATAATAATAATAATAATAATTCCAGGTTCTCATATACCGCTTTATCACAACCTAGTAGTAGATCGTCTCAAAGCGGTTCACAAATTATTATCCGTGGTTTTAGGGCCTTTGCAACCAGCCAATATTTTTCTCAACTCTCCGGGGAGCATAAAGCCGGTGCTGCCATTTCGGCGCTCACAGCTAGCATTCCACAGTTCTAGCACTGCCCAACCACGTACTCATGTACAGCTGAGTAGACTGGAACAAGCGGTGTAAAGTATCTTGCTCAAAGATACAACACAGAGCCGTGCCGTGACTCGAACCCGCAATCCTTCGGTCACGAGCCCGGCGTCCTATAATGTACCGCTAGACTACCACGCCTCCTAATGTTAAAGCGTTTAAAAGCCTCATTACTGTGTCATTTTGAATATTTCCCGTAGAAGTAGAATCATGTAAGGCATAGGGATACATATTATCTGAAGAGTCACTTTGATTTGGTATACATCTGTGGCAGTCATATTGCTCTTTTTATATTGACGATATAATGCTACGATTCAGTTAAAACAGGTTATTAGATACTGTATAACACGAAATATTCGTGGATATTTTCCTTCGTGGTTTGAAAGCCTTTAAGATCGTTTCGTGATACAGACTTTGGTTGATATCCTATATTAACAAACATTAGATACGTGTATCATTCAAATTAGCTGTATTTATATTCGTGGTTCAATAGCAACCACGAAAACAACGAATATTTATATACAACGAACATTTCATGTTATACGGTACTACTTTGGGGGCTACATGACTGAAATCATCAATTGTATGAATGTTTGGTCTTTGTTGGCTTATATTTGTATTTAAAAATCCTGATGCAAGTATAGTATGTTTGATAATACGTAAAATACAAAGCAAACAACAATCCATTACAGAAAAGTTTGAGGGAGACATTTTCAATACCATGGTGCTGTGTTGGAATATAAAAGATGTCCACGGTAAACCCCAGATATGGCCGAACAGAGGACCTTTCCAGACATTCATCCTGTACAAAAAGGCATGCACCAGATATCAATTCCTATGGCATGTTGTGAAATTGTTTAAGGCCAAAAAGGAGGCGGTGAGTCTTTTAACTTCTCATTACTTGGCTTAAAAGGCAACTGTTTATATTATTTACATTTGTTTTATTGTTGTTGCATAAAACAAATCAAGTTGTGACATCACACTTGCGATCAAAGTAGCAATTTGTGATCATGTTTACAGGTGGAGTGTCCCATACACACACAAGGTTCACATCTTAACATCTAAAACGCATTTTGCTGTCACCAATCAACCGTGCTTGTCCAGAAATAAACCTGTGAATCCATAAACATCTTATGAATTAGAGATAGGAATGATAGGAAGATGGTTCTTTATAAACATTAATCTCAAATGTCAACATCAAAACAAGTGACAATGGTACAATGTAACAGCTACAGACAGGTATACTCGCCAAAGTTACTTAACGGAATTAGATACGTTTTATGAAGAGACCATGCGTTGGGGTAGACATTTTTATTAGAATGAAAACTGAATTAATAATTATTTTGTCAGAATATTATTTTCAGTCGTCCATCCGTTCTCCTTATTTGTTCGCAGATAATCCTCCTTTGGTTTGCACTGACTTGTACAAGGACAATCAACATTGCTTTACACAAAGGTCAAAAAGCGACTTCTGTGTAATTAATATATTAACAATGATTATCTGGTAATAAAAGGCCAGTCATTACTAAGTGACAAAAAAATAATTACTTCAAGACCTATGAAGCTTTAAGTTAGTTCTAGGGTTTTTAAGGCTGCAAACGGGCGCACAAATCCATTACCTAAATCTTATATGTGATAGTTGAGCTAAGATTTTCTGACATTGTTATGTTCCAATTCCTATATATTTCCTATATGATCGGGTCAATCTTGATATCAGGATTTATTTCTATACATTTAACACTGATATCGTAGCAGTGGGTAACAGTCGTTAAGTAGTAACTCGGGCACCTTGGGAGTGTTTCTATGTATTCTATGGATTTTCTATGTTTTCTTGTGTAATTCGACGTCATAACTTCAATTTTGGGATGGTATTCTATGTAGCGTAACACGGGAACATCGGGAAAACACTATGCTCTGCTCTATGTGCATGAACTCAAGAATGTTGGGAGTTAATCTGTGTTCTCGGTACCTCGTAAAGGTTTTATGGTTTCTATGTATTTTGAGCTTGTGTAGCTCGGTAGAGTTTATACATGTACGTGGTGTATCTAACTCTGGATCTTTCATAGTCCCGATGATTTAAACGTAACGGGGTTTATCTGGGATACATTACTGCAGATATCAATTTTAGAATAATGTATAATGATTGTATTGCACATGACTACCCTCATACCCGTATAGGATAACATTATATTTCTTTGTGTTTTAACAGTTACAAGGAGACTACCTTGAGTGCTATCAGGCAGCTGGTTATATTATGAAAGTAAAAGAGGACAGCCCACTTAAAGAGAATCTCGGCATTAATATAGATGGAGACCCGTTTAAACTGCCGGAGCCATATCATGAAAACCGGTAAGTGGGTTGAAATAGTCAAAGTTATCTCCCTTTGGATCTAGTTCGTATCTTTTCTGTTGGGTACAACCGATAACAATTGTTGTTAGTTTTGTTTACTCTGCACTAACTTTAAAATAATTAATGTCCGAAAAACGATCCTGGATCTGTAAAAACTAACTTTCTCACATATCAAGGTATTATTAATACTATAAAAAAACTACATGTCCAATGATGATACTTTAAATACTTTGATTAGTTATCCATACATACCCTTAAATTTAAAAATATTTATGATGCATAAAAAAGGAACTCAAGATTTTTATAAGTTGTTGTGCCAAAATAGTACCATATCCACTGGGAAAAACAAATGGATTGAATTGTTTGAATTTGATGATGACACATGGAAATTGATATATATGCTTCCTTTTACAGTAACTAGAAATTCAAAATTACAATGGCTTCAATACAGAATAAATCAACACATTTAACAACAAACTCTTATCTAGTTAAAGCAGCTCTTACCGATAGTGCTCTTTGTTTTCAATGTAAGACTGAAATAGCGACAATAATTCACACACTATGGGAATGTGAGAAAGTACAAGACTTTTTTATGATGCATTGTTAATCCCATTTGGTTTTAACAAGGAAACCTTCATTTTCGATTTATTTAATCAAAATAGTATCAGTAGTAGGGTAGATAATACCATAATTTTACTTATAAAACAATATATTTATAAATCGAGATGTTACAGATGTCATTGTCAGTAGCTGCAGTTAAGAACGTTATCAAGGACACATATTTTACTCAGAGATATATTGCTGTTAATAAAAGTGAATTATTCTTATTGAAATTCAATACTGAGTGGAAAAAATGGGAAAGTCTAATTAATATTGCTTAAACCCTGTCTTTGCCAAAATATGAACATATAACTATCGAGTTTTCTTATATAAACATGTACTTCTAAATACTTATATGTAAAACTCCTTGAACCTTCCAACACATCTATATAGCTTCTTTATTTCTCAATATCCCCCCCCCCTCGTTTTTTTTTTCTCTTTTTTCTTTTTTCTTTTCTTTCTTCTTTTTTTCTCTCTCTCTCTTAGTCTTACTTTCCCTTCTATACCTCTAGGACCTGCTCTAACCTCTTTTCTATCACTTCTAAACAATGCTTTTATATAACGGACACAATTTAGATGGAATTTAATTATACATAAACATAATTAATTATTAATTATACCTGGAAATATGCAGTTTTATTATAAATGAATATTTAATGAATGAATTGCAATGTGTGACAGGAATAATGTTTATGTATGATATATTTGCATTGTTAGAAATTTGAAAAAAAATAACAAAAATAACAAAAAAAACCTGCACTAACTTTAAAATAATTAATGTCCGAAAAACGATCCTGGATCTGTCACGACACTGGCATGGGTTATGATACCTGTTATGACACTTGAATATAGATAGAGTTAAAATGATATATGAGATTTCACATAATTAATGTTTTGGACTGTGCCCGGCTTTGATTGTAGTCTTGATTTACCAGGTTTTACCATGATGCCGTACGAATGTTCACCAGTCTCACCGACACTGACGCCGATTCCTCGATTCCATAAGTCAACGCTTCTCAATGGAAAAAATGAATTGCATTAAACATGTAAAATGTCTTAACAAGCACTTTAAATTATTAGTTGGTAGAGTGGATAAAATTAATGTATTTTCAAGTTGTCGTTAAACTATCGAAAAATGGGAAAATATATTATCATTGAAATTAAAAGTTATTTATTAATCCTTGGGTGACTAACCTGTTCACTTTAAAGACGTAGGCCAATAACCGAACTACCCGGTAGTGAAGCGGACGTAAAACCGCTCAAACAAACAAAGAATCAAAGATTATAAAACCATAACCCAGTGTCATATAATAGCGCGCAAACATTAACCTTATAAAGCTACCATAATGTAAATATTTATGTGAAATATCTAATTCCGTGCCTATTGGTACACCGTACAATGTGACAGATGTCAACAAGTTAGGTATAGTCGATACAATGATACAGAAATTAGAGGCGTAACCTCTGATCAGAAATGGTGAACATTTGAGAAACGTCAGAGGGAGAGAATGTCGCGTGTCCTGCTCCCCGTCTAACAAGTACTATGAGCCATGTAGGATTTGACTTTTCATCACTGACCAGGGTTGATAGTTACTGTTTTTGTCATGCTATTGTTAAATGTGATGGTTGTCATCTAATTAGAATACTGTATGTTGTGTTTGTTATTTTCCCGTGCCATTGAGTTTCAGTGACTGATAAAAAGATTTTGAAGTATTTTTTGTGAAACATTTATATATTTTGTGTATTTGAATAGGGTATGGTATATAAATATATATTTATATTATTTTGTAAAGGTTTTTACTGTATACTTGCAATAAAACGTATAACTATGTAAGTGTTTTCATTGTCATCGTCAACAAATTAATTGTTGTATGTAAACATTTACATGCCGGGATTGTATGTTTTGGATCACATAACCTTGAGGATTTCACATGTTATCTACATTACTACATGCGCTACCGAAACTCTTACTTCGGTCACCACTACTCTGGTTGTCTCTCTATCCAGCCCACCACTACTCTGGTTGTCTCTCTATCCAGCCCACCACTACTCTGGTTGTCTCTCTATCCAGCCCACCACTACTCTGGTTGTCTCTCTATCCAGCCCACCACTACTCTGGTTGTCTCTCTATCCAGCCCACCACTACTCTGGTTGTCTCTCTATCCAGCCCACCACTACTCTGGTTGTCTCTCTATCCAGCCCACCACTACTCTGGTTGTCTCTCTATCCAGCCCACCACTACTCTGGTTGTCTCTCTATCCAGCCCACCACTACTCTGGTTGTCTCTCTATCCAGCCCACCACTACTCTGGTTGTCTCTCTATCCAGCCCACCACTACTCTGGTTGTCTCTCTATCCAGCCCACCACTACTCTGGTTGTCTCTCTATCCAGCCCACCACTACTCTGGTTGTCTCTCTATCCAGCCCACCACTACTCTGGTTGTCTCTCTATCCAGCCCACCACTACTCTGGTTGTCTCTCTATCCAGCCCACCACTACTCTGGTTGTCTCTCTATCCAGCCCACCACTACTCTGGTTGTCTCTCTATCCAGCCCACCACTACTCTGGTTGTCTCTCTATCCAGCCCACCACTACTCTGGTTGTCTCTCTATCCAGCCCACCACTACTCTGGTTGTCTCTCTATCCAGCCCACCACTACTCTGGTTGTCTCTCTATCCAGCCCACCACTACTCTGGTTGTCTCTCTATCCAGCCCACCACTACTCTGGTTGTCTCTCTATCCAGCCCACCACTACTCTGGTTGTCTCTCTATCCAGCCCACCACTACTCTGGTTGTCTCTCTATCCAGCCCACCACTACTCTGGTTGTCTCTCTATCCAGCCCACCACTACTCTGGTTGTCTCTCTATCCAGCCCACCACTACTCTGGTTGTCTCTCTATCCAGCCCACCACTACTCTGGTTGTCTCTCTATCCAGCCCACCACTACTCTGGTTGTCTCTCTATCCAGCCCACCACTACTCTGGTTGTCTCTCTATCCAGCCCACCACTACTCTGGTTGTCTCTCTATCCAGCCCACCACTACTCTGGTTGTCTCTCTATCCAGCCCACCACTACTCTGGTTGTCTCTCTATCCAGCCCACCACTACTCTGGTTGTCTCTCTATCCAGCCCACCACTACTCTGGTTGTCTCTCTATCCAGCCCACCACTACTCTGGTTGTCTCTCTATCCAGCCCACCACTACTCTGGTTGTCTCTCTATCCAGCCCACCACTACTCTGGTTGTCTCTCTATCCAGCCCACCACTACTCTGGTTGTCTCTCTATCCAGCCCACCACTACTCTGGTTGTCTCTCTATCCAGCCCACCACTACTCTGGTTGTCTCTCTATCCAGCCCACCACTACTCTGGTTGTCTCTCTATCCAGCCCACCACTACTCTGGTTGTCTCTCTATCCAGCCCACCACTACTCTGGTTGTCTCTCTATCCAGCCCACCACTACTCTGGTTGTCTCTCTATCCAGCCCACCACTACTCTGGTTGTCTCTCTATCCAGCCCACCACTACTCTGGTTGTCTCTCTATCCAGCCCACCACTACTCTGGTTGTCTCTCTATCCAGCCCACCACTACTCTGGTTGTCTCTCTATCCAGCCCACCACTACTCTGGTTGTCTCTCTATCCAGCCCACCACTACTCTGGTTGTCTCTCTATCCAGCCCACCACTACTCTGGTTGTCTCTCTATCCAGCCCACCACTACTCTGGTTGTCTCTCTATCCAGCCCACCACTACTCTGGTTGTCTCTCTATCCAGCCCACCACTACTCTGGTTGTCTCTCTATCCAGCCCACCACTACTCTGGTTGTCTCTCTATCCAGCCCACCACTACTCTGGTTGTCTCTCTATCCAGCCCACCACTACTCTGGTTGTCTCTCTATCCAGCCCACCACTACTCTGGTTGTCTCTCTATCCAGCCCACCACTACTCTGGTTGTCTCTCTATCCAGCCCACCACTAATCTGGTTGTCTCTCTATCCAGCCCACCACTACTCTGGTTGTCTCTCTATCCAGCCCACCACTAATCTGGTTGTCTCTCTATCCAGCCCACCACTACTCTGGTTGTCTCTCTATCCAGCCCACCACTACTCTGGTTGTCTCTCTTTCCAGCCCACCACTAATCTGGTTGTCTCTCTATCCAGCCAACCACTACTCTGGTTGTCTCTCTATCCAGCCTATCACTAATATGGTTGTCTCTCTATCCAGCCCACCACTACTCTGGTTGTCTCTCTATCCAGCCCACCACTAATCTGGTTGTCTCTCTATCCAGCCTATCTCTAATATGGTTGTCTCTCTATCCAGCGCACCACTAATCTGGTTGTCTCTCTATCCAGCCCACCACTTATCTGGTTGTCTCTCTATCCAGCCAACCAATTATCTGGTTGTCTCTCTATCCAGCCTATCTCTAATTTGGTTGTCTCTCTATCCAGCCTATCTCTAATCTGGTTGTCTCTCTATCCACCCCACCACTAATCTGGATGTCTCTCTATCCAGCCCACCACTTAACTGGTTGTCTCTCTACCCACCCCACCACTTATCTGGTTGTCTCTCTATCCAGCCAACACTTTTCTCGCACCTCCGACGTACGTAAAAAACCCAATTACCTGTAACCGAGCAAGATCGGGTTATCTCAGTCTCGGGCTAAGATTCTGTAACATCCGCCGAGGTTGGGATTGTGTAACCCTCGACTGAGATAACCCGATCTCGCTCAGTTACACGTAATATATTTTATTAATCTGGCTGTCTCTCTATCCAGCCCACCACTAATCTGGTTGTCTCTCTATCTAGCCACCACTTATCTGGTTGTTCCACTATCCAGCCTCATTAATTTAGCCACCACTTATCTGATTGTCCCACTATCCAGCCTCATTAATTTAGCCACCGTTTATCCGGTAGTCTCACTATCGTGTCTCATTTATCTAGCCACCACTTATCTGGTTGTCCCACTATCCAGCCTCATTAATTTAGCCACCACTAATCCGGTAGTCCCACTATCCAGTCTCTTTAATTTAGCCACCACTTATCGTGTTGTCCCACTATCCAGCCTCATTTATCTAGCCATCACTTATCTGGTTGTCCCACAACCAGCCTCATTTATCTAGCCACCACTTATATGGTTGTCTCACTGTCCATCCTCATTAATTTAGCCACCGTTTATCCGGTAGTTTCCCTATCCTGCCTCATTTATCTAGCCACCACTTATCTGGTTGTCCCACTATCCAGCCTCATTAATTTAGCCACCACTTATCTGGTTGTCCCACTAGCCAGACTCATTAATTTAGCCACCGATAATCCGGTAGTCTCACTATCCTGCCACCGATTCTTTTGTCCACTATGTAGCCACCGCTAATCTGGTAGTCTGACTCACTCGGAACTTCTTTGCCGATTCGGTCATCTAACCTCGGATGTATGAAACTGTAATCGGGGCGAGGTGTTCCGAATGAGTCTGACTACGTAACCAACACTTAGCTGATTATCTCACTTTCCAGTCACCATCTTCCTGATCAGCTCACTGACAGCTTATGAACGGGAATCAATAAGCCATTTTTTTTGTCAAACAAATTACCTAAGTTATGCCGCCATCTAACAATCCTAATTGCTGGAAAGAGCAGTAAGTGTATCATCGACGTTCTTTTTTATATGTTATTTTAATAAAATAGTTGCTATGACTTGATCTTTATAATCCCTTGCGGGTGTTGTAGATGAAACAAGCGACGCTTTTCCCGCCGGAATGTCTGGTCCGATAAAAAAAACCATTTCAATGGTATCTTTGTAAATCTTTCCTTTGTTCATACTTTATCTATGTTTTATCTGTTTTTATTTTTATAACGTTATTTTTTAAATTTCGGTATTATTTTATTATTTTTAAGAGGTCCAACGAGAAGTGTGAAGTAACGACTAATGCCAATTACCAACTTTTATTATTAGGATCTTTCTTTGACCATCTTAAGTCATTATGTCTCCATCTTTTTATGATTCCTAAATTGCAATGGACAGTTGGACAGTTATTCAACATCTCTTCGTTGTACATTGAATGGTTTATGTTCTTCATTTCTTTAATCAAGACAGAACTACCAAAGATTTGTTTGTTTTGTCAGAGATAAAATGAGCAGTTTTAGACATTTATCTTACTAAAAACGCTGTACCTCTTTGTATTAATATGGAAACAGTTTTTGCAACATATGAAACGGACAGCCAACATGTAAGTTTACTTATAATGCGACTTACATGACGTAATATGTCCTGATGAAAAACTGAAAAAGCAGGGTAAAACAATCAAACCAATATCGACATCTAACTGAATGGCTGTATTGTAAGCTTACAAGCTAATGAGTGTCCATTCGAATAATCTACCTCCTATTATGGACCATTGTGTATGTAGATCTAGTATTCCTGAACTATCTATAGATATGTCTGTTGATTTATCCATCCACCGAATATATGATTTAATGTGCATTGGAATATTCCCAAATCAAATATGCTTTAAAAACCTAATTGTAATATTTGTTCCTCAATCGATTGGACAATGATAGTTGTTTTAATTAATATGTATTCCTGGGTCAAATATGACCATTGATAATTTTTTCAATGAATATCTTGCCCTATTAATTGATCTTTATATTGACATGATTGTGGTAAGTAAATCATGGATTTTCACCTCTTTATTGAGGCCTGTAATTGAAAAAAAAAAGATTTTTTTAGGTATTCAAGAATGATACACTTTGGCAATGTATCTAATGTTAGTCTTTTTTTATACAACTGCAAAACAATATAGTTGATGATGTAATTAAGGTATATTTGTATTCATTATTGTTCAAACGTATGTTTCTGTATCAGTAAAGTATAAAAAAAATAAAGTATTTACACATTTTCC